TTTATTAAAAATAAAATTATTATTAAAAATAAAAAACTTAAATATAAAATTAATAAAATAATATTATTAAAAATAAATAAAATTATTAATAAACTTTACTACTTAGTAAAATAAAAAAAATATAATAAAAGTATAAATAATTAAAAATTAAAAAGTAATTTTAAATATATTAATATTATTTTAAAAATTTTTTAAAATAAACTTTATAAATATTTATAAATATAATAAAAACTTATAATAAAAAAACTTATATTTTTTAAATTACTTAAGAAAATAATAAAAAAATATTTTTTATTAAAGTAAAAAAATTAAAATTTAAGGACCTTAAATAAATATTAAAAAAAAAATCTATAAATATTTCCTAGGGATTTAAAATTATAAAATTAAATAAATTAAGTAATAGTATTTTAAACTAATATAAAGCTTTTACTTTTATATACTTAACTTAATTTAACTTTTTTAAATTATTAATACTTTATATAATTATATAAGTTATTTTTTTTAATTAAAAATACTTTAATTTATAAAAATACTTTATTTTTATATTAATAACCTTATATTTTTCTTTAGTTTTTTTAAAAACTTTTTTATATTAAGTATAAAAAAAAGTAATTTTATAAAGTTAAGTTATTAATAAAAGGTAAGTATTATAAAAAACTTATTATTTTTTATATACTTAGTATAATAAGTAAAATCCTTTTTAAATATTTAATATTTAAGGAATTAATACTTTTTTTTATTTATATAATAAATATAGTTTTTTATTTTAATAAAATAAAATAAAATAATTTTTAATAAAATATTTTTATATTTAATTTTAAAATAAGATTTTTTATAAATACTTAATATAATAATTAATAAAATATATATTTACTAAAGAAATAATTAACTAACCTAGGGTAATAAAAAGGAGTAGTTACTTATACTAAATAAAATAAGGTTTTAAAAATAAGATTAATAAAAGGGGGATATTATATTATAACTTAATATTTATAATTATAATTAAAAAAGCCTATATATTAAGTACTACTAAATTAAGGTTAATTTTTTTAGCTAATTAAAGAAGGATTAAGAAATATTTTCTTAATTTAATATAAAATTAATAAAATAAATATTAATTTATAAATAAATTAATAAATTATTTATTAATTTAGTTTAAGTATAATTAAATATATAAGTTTTATTTTTTACACTTATTTAAAATAATTAAATAGCTAGTTATAAATAAAAAATAATACTTAATTATACTTATAAAAGTATTATTTACTAATTATATAAATAAACCCTTTTATCCTTATTAATTACCTATAGTTTAGCTTAGCTTATTTACTAATATAAACCTAATATAAGGTTTATCCCTTAGGAATTCCTCTTATATTAACTATATAGGAGCTTAGCTTATTATATAAGTTTAGTAAAACTATAATAATTAAGTTAAAGAAAAGTTATACCTTAGCTTTTAAAAATTCTTTATTATAATTATAAATATTAAGTTATAATACTTTATAAATAAAAAAACTTTTCTTATATTTATTTTAAACTATTAATACTAAGATAAGCTAAACTATGAGTTACATTTGCATTAGTAACTAGTTTATATATATCTTCAAATGCTTTAAGCCATTTTCCCACTGTGTTAGCGTTAATAAACCGCGGGTCAAACTCAGCTTTAATACTAATCCCATCATCAGTAATAGTGCAATTCCAAACCAATGCAGAGGCTGGATGGCGTAATTGAACTGTTTGCTCTAGTGTTACCCCTATGTAAGGACCCCAGCTCATATCAGATGACTGGATAACCACAGGTACTGCACCAATACAAGCCAGTCTTGCCTCATCGCTGAGACCGCAGATGTTCTTATATCCAAAATACTGAAAGGGTACAGATTCAAGCATCTGGTTCTGAACAATGCTCAGGAGGTCGTAAACTGTCCCATGTTCACTAAGCTTCGTTCGCAGAGGTACCACTGCAATAGCAGGACCGAGAAGTCTGTCCACTTCGGCGACTGGAGTATTACGACCAGCTAAAGTAATTTCGGACACTACGTCGGCTGATTGTGTAATCTTTCCAGCAAGCACTTGCCAGGTGACGTATAGCTTCGTGGCAGTTGTGAAGTCTGATGTAAGTTTAGGAGATGGAAACTTATATTCAAGGGCCGAGTCCGCGGTAGGGACTATACCCGTGGGGACTTGGATGACGGGTTTGCAATTGGCACCGGCCAAATGAGAACGCCAAAATGACTCTGCTCCAGCTCGGTTTATTTGCGTTGCATGTTGTACGAGTGTATTGAAATTCACCGCCACAGCTTGCTCCAACTTTTGCTTCAGAATTTGTTCGTAGAGTTTCGCAACCTGCTCAAAAAACCGCGAGACTGACCATCGGTCATACATCGCGTGATGTGCGGTCCATACAAAAATCTTCTTTGAGCTGCTCTGGTCCTCCACAATAGTACAGAGGCTCAGTGGACTGCCAGGAATCCCGATCTTCTTCTTGTGATCTTCTAGTGTAGCATGGAGATCTGTGGAGGAGGTCCATGATGCAGGGGTCTTTGGGACAACTTGAACGAGGCCACGCGACGATTGAAAAATTCGATGTTCCAGTGCTGAGCATGGAACTCCGGACCAAGCAGATCGGAATGCATCAATATTCAACTCGTCAGATAATGCAAACCTACGTTGAACGCAGTGTCGGCGTGTATATTGAAGTGATTCCATCCAGAGTTCCTCTTGATATGGTGTGCATGGGTAAATGTCCTCGATCAACTCCGGTGGGAGCGAACAGTATGTGCTTGCCTCATCGAGCAGGGAACCAGCTGCTACTCCGTCTATTGGTATAGAAAAAGGAGCAACTGTGGTAACACTCAAACCTTGGTTCAGCTCCGGAATGAGGGCCATTTCACGCAATTGGGGCTTTTTGAAGATGTCAGCTACGGTTAGCCGCATTCCCTGCCGTCGCGCCGCGGCAACCAGTCCAATAGCAGTCAACGAATCGGCCCCAAGTTTGAGAAAATTGTCATCGGGGAGGATTTGATTGGCCAGAATCGGCAACACACTAGACCACAGGGCGGCCATCGCCGCTTCCTGAGTGGTAAGGGCTTGGCTGGATGCAGTCCCACGATTCCCAAGGATGGCTGCGAGGGTGGCGTGCGAGTTCTGGGATATTAATTTTCGAAGCTCGCTGCGGTCGATCTTGGACGATACCGTCAACGGCAATCTTGGAAGCGGTATGAAAAGCACAGGTATCATGTACGCGGGCAAAGTTTGCCTCAATTCGTCTTCGAGATGTTGCACGAGATCTCGAAATCGCTTTCCAGCTTCTGGTATCATCTTGATGTGGCTTCCGACCCATTCACAGCCCCAATCCTCCCCAACGCATATGAAGGCTATCAGAAGATCTCCACTCCCATCTGAGGTACAAGCAAGATCCACAGCAACCTGCTTTTGTTCCGGCAAAAGTTTCTGGATGTGGTGTTCAATTTCAAACAGCTCGACCCGCTGCCCGTGAATTTTGACCTGAAAATCTTTGCGACCCAAATAGATCAAATCACCCTCCTTGCTGTATCGAACCAAATCGCCCGTCTTATACATTCTTCGTGGTTTGCTTGAAGCCCCAAATGATGAGCGCCAGAGCGGTTCAGTGATGAAGGAAGCAGTGGTGGCTTTGGCGTTATTAAGATAGCCGCGTGCCAAGATTGGCCCTTCAATGAGAAGCTCCCCCACGTCACCCACATGTGCCAGTCTGTTGGAGTTCTCAGGATCGACGATCCAGGAGATCGAGCCCATCGCTCGGCCTATGGTGGCCGGGGCAACAGAAGCAAGGTTGTATCTGAAAGCTGCACAAAGCACGGCACACTCAGTAGGGCCGTAGGCGTTGATGAGCTCAACTCGATTTGACCATCTCTGAACAGTTTCATTTGGCACTTTTTCACCAGCCAAGGCCAGAGTGCGGAGGTTCTTCACGCCATCTGGTTGGAGGTGGTGGGCAATGGATGGTGTGAGAGTGGCTAACGTGACACGCATGCGGTTCATGGCTCCAGCAATGTCGTTCATCCGGTCATCATCCGATGGAATGCAAATGCAGCCTCCGAAGATCAGAGTTGTCAGAATATCCATGACAGAAACATCAAAGATAAAAGAGGAAAACTGTAATACTCGTGACTCCTCATTGAAACCCAAAACTTGACCGTGGTCCAGGGAGCTTGAACAGAAAGCTGAATGTTCTATCATCACCCCCTTTGGTAGTCCGGTGCTTCCAGATGTGAATATCATGTATGCTAAGTTGCTTGGCTGGCTCCTTTGCCCAAGTGGTTGGCTGATGACGGATTTGGCCAGGTTTTGCATCAATGTTTCATCTACTGCGATGATGTTTTCGATCCTGTGAGTGCATTTGGATGCAAATGAGGATGATGCGAGTAGAATCTTTGGGTTTATCTGACTTATGATGGTTTCCTGTCTCTGAGGTGGGTGGTTGGGATCCATGGGAACAAAAGCGCCCCCGGCCTTTAAAACTGCAAGAATCGCCACAATCGCCCACTTTGACTTCTCGAAGCATAGAAGCACAAGAATCTCAGGGCCAACCCCGAGCTGTACAAGATGGTATGCAAGCCGCGACGCCAGTGAATCCAGCATTTCGTACGTCAATTCACCATCCCACGATGAGATAGAAGGAGCCTGGGGCTGCTGATGGGCTCGATCCTCAAACAGAACCTGTATACATTGTTCTGTGCTTGCTGGGATATGTTTATTCCACAGACTCAAGTTTTCTCGCTCTTCATGCGCCAGGTGATCCACGCCGCTGAGCTGCGTGTCGGTCTGTGTATTGGATTCCATTGCTGGACTGCGTGTGATAGCGTCTCATATGCAGTCCCAAGCGAAGTCAATGCTAAGAAAGGAGAACAGGAAGAAAAGGCGTGCAGGTCGCAAAGGAGTAGTTATTGAAAGACGAGTTTGGTGCGTGAATAATCCTTCAGAGATTTAAATGTTTTTGGTATTAAATAACAAACAGATGATTCCTAGGAGATGCCATGCGCCTTATAGATAGTAATTCAGACCAATAGTAGCAAATGTAAAGTACTTGAAAGTCATAGGGAAAAAATAATATATAAAATTAAGTGTAATTTTATATTAATTCTTTACTATATCAAAATTACAATAATAAAATAATTTATATTTTTATTATATTTCACTTTACAATACTAATTTATTTAAATAATAATTATAATATTATAGTGAGAAAATAAAATTATTATATTAATAATTATTATTATTTAATTTCTTTTATTAATTACTTCACTCGGCTATTTAGTTTGCTTACTCAAAGCGCTTAACTCGGCCTGCTCACTCAGACCGCTCCCTCGGTCCGATCGCTAGTGCTAAAGGTAAAAGATCAACGTCCTTTACAAAAGCCCCTGTCCTTCACAATGTATCTGCGGTAAGGATATGAAAAAGAGGTGAAGGATTCTAAAAAAAAAGGGACCTTGTGATACACTAGTTGCAGATTATCCCTGTCTCCTGCATATGTATTGTAAAGCTTGTCTTGTCTTGGCAAAAGGGCAAGCTCCATAGGTATCTAGTCTTTTTTTTCTCTTAGCGCGAAAGATAAGGGGTGTGTTGTACATTGTCTTTTTTTAAGCGTAGACGATGAGCTGTACGAGTACAATAGGTATACGTACATGCATACAGTTGACAGGGGTAATTTGCAACCCACTCACTACCTTGTAAAATGGATGGAAAGGACGTGGGCTTGTGGCAATGTACCTAAGGCAACAAGCGTGAAGTTGGTCGGCCGACGGAGACCGAGTAAAGAAAGCAAACCCGCATATTCGTGATACCGATGTTACAGTAATTACTTGATAACAAATGGATAGGCGGATCGCCTAATCCACGTGATGAGTGTTACGGCCCGCCTGCGCTCAACGTGAGGGGGGTGCCATTCTCGCACGAATCCCCTCTCTGACCGTGATGCTGCTCATCTAGTTTTCGTTGTTCGCGATCACATTCTCAATTCTTCCATTCTTTGCCAGCAACAAGCAACACGTGTAAAATTTCCCGTTGACTGTTTGCATCAAATTTTGGCTGTTTACAACAGTTAGTTTTATTGCCATATGGCTAGCACAGGATACTCCGTTCCGGCTAATGCAACAAGAGTGGAAACTCATGTAATGGCGACGGAGCCGCAAAAAGCAAATGAAATCATCGAGAGAGTTGAAAAAGTCGCAAAAGTCGCCCAACAAATTGAAGAGGCCAAGATCCAAGAACGAGATGATCCGCAGCAGTGCTCTCGGTCGGTACGACAGGACGGTGTCGATTCGCGTCGCCCTTCATCGACTGGAGTTGTCTCCAGTGAGCTAATAGCCACCGGAGAACCACCTCAGACACCGATAGACTATGATGATCCGCGGGCATGGAATGCCAAAAGGAAATGGAGTGCTCTGACCATCGTCTCGCTGTTCAATTTTGTAACCAGCATCTCGTCCTCGATGGTTGCCCCAGCACTTCCCGCAATCTCCCAAGAACTCAGTATAACGGATGGCACGGATCAGTACCTGTTGGTGTCGATATTCGTATTGGCTTATTCGTTCGGGCCATTACTTTGGGGCCCGCTCTCCGAGATGTATGGGAGGGTTGTCGTCCTGCGGGTGTCTAACTTGATTTATCTCGCCTTCAATACTGGCTGCGGCTTTGCACAGTCCAACAGCCAAATGACAGCATTCCGCTTTCTCAGTGGCTTCGGTGGAAGCGCCCCTCTAGTATTGGCTAGTGGTGTGATTGGCGACGTCTTCACCCCCGACGAGAGAGGGAAAGCTATCAGTGTATACACCATCGCGCCATTGCTCGGCCCAGCCGTTGGTCCAATCGTTGGCGGGCTCATTGCCGAGCACACAACCTGGCGATGGATATTCTGGTCTACTTCTATTCTCGCCGCTCTTGTCCAGGGTGTGGGCACAATTCTTCTCCGCGAGACATATGCGCCAGTCTTGTTGCGAGCGAAGAACAAAGCAGAGCAAGAGAAACAGGATGTTACAGTCACCAGCAGCTCGACAGTAACTCCGCAGTCTCTCATATGGGCTAACTTGAGCCGCGCAGTGTTCATGCTAGCAACTCAGCCTATCATTCAGTCTGTCGGCCTGTACTTGGCGTACATTTACGGTCTTGTTTACCTTGTCTTATCCACGCTCCCAACAGTATGGAATGATGTTTATCAGGAGCAGGTGGACATTGGCAGTCTCCATTATCTCGCGATCGGTCTTGGGTTCTTCTTGGGTACCCAGGTCTGCGCACCACTTCAGGACTCCATTTACCGGCGATTGAAGCATGGTAATAATGGCGTCGCAGAGCCCGAATTCCGTATTCCACTGATGATACCGGCAGCCTTGTTTCTTTCTGCGGGACTGTTCATCTACGGATGGACTGCTTACTATAAGGTACATTGGATAGGAGTAGACATTGGGACCGTCACTTTCTCGATTGGCAGCATCATCGGCTTGCAGTGCATACAATCGTATATTATAGACGCATACCCGCTTCACGCTGCTTCTGCTGTGAGTGCAGCTACATTTCTTCGAAGCTTGGCAGGATTTGGACTCCCTTTGCTTGCAACTCCTTTATATAACTCGCTTGGATTAGGCTGGGGAAATAGCTTGTTGGGGTTTTTAGCTTTTGTCTTTGGAGCGCCAATGCCTTTCCTACTATGGCGATATGGTAAGAAGATAAGGGGTTATGCTTGGTTCACCAGGTCTAGTGGCCAATGAAAAATGCATATTGTCGCTATTATCTCAAGACAAAATTGACGGGCTGGACACATCTACTGTGACGACGAGGATGAAAGGGCTGTATCAAAACGGGATAGAATATAGTTAGTCCGATAGGACTTCGTAGTTGCACAGAAAATTTTGTATTTGTGCCATATTCGCTCCTTGAACATTCTACCCATATGTTGAAAACTGTCCGCATATGTCTTCTCTTTCATTGGACAACTCCATCTCAAACTTCCATCACATCTTCTTGAGCCGCCCTGAAATTCGCAGTGCTCCATACACTAAGATAGCGGATGAAACAGGTCGTATAAGAAGGGCGTAAATCACCCAAAAACACAGGCTACAAATAACATTTAGCTCTTAGGATGGCTTACTACATGGCATGATTGTGGCTTTCTTAGGTATTGCCTCACTTGTCCTGGAATGCTGGTCCACATGGTTGCCTATGGTGCAATCTACCGTGTGATGTGAAGTACTCATCGTTTTTGTAGTTTACTTTTGTTAGGTGGCTTCTGTAATCTCTAATCACATGCATGAAGAGTAAGACATGGATGAAAAAGAGGATGGTAGAGGAGTAAACCGAGCCTTGCGCCCGTTGTGTGAGCAGAGAGACAAGTAGGGTAGCTGACGCTGAATGAGTTCAATACAAGTCGAGGCAATTTGTCAACGTTCTACAGAATACTTACAGTAAAAAAATACTCACTCGATATGCTTAGTTTGCTATTGGGTAGCGAGACATCGGACTGCAAAAATGATAGCCGAATCTTCTTCTATTGACTGCTTCTTCCTTTGAAGCATTATTCACCGATCACGTAACTAATGTACAGGTTCTATCGGTTCCTAGCTACGCCTTGCTAACAACAAAAAGGTGCCCCAATCACTTTCAACCTTGGCCTCCCTCCATTTATCACCTAACGCCTTCCATTCAGGCACCACGTCAATCATGTGATCCCACATGACATCAATCACATCACCCTCACCTCCCTCTTTTCTGGACTTCTTATCGGGATACGCCTCTTGCCACTTACTATAGCAGCTGAAGGTCCTTGTATAGGCCTCAATCTCACCCAATGTCATCGTCTTCCTCAGTTGCCATGCCACTTCCTCACTCATGGTAGCCTTATCGCCCGGCTCGTGTTCGAGCCTCTGCAACTCAGTCCAATTTGTGGCGGGCGGAACTATGCTCCTCAGCGAGTCCCTCAAAATGTTGCGTCCTGGCTGTTCCCAGTACGGACCCATACCCTCGAAGCCTGGTGCAACCTCGCCTTTGCCATACACAAATTTCTCCATGACCACAGTAGCTTGCTCGGCACCTAGGAGCACATTGTCCTTGTATCCAAAGAAAGCAACGGTTCCGCCCTTTTTGACAACGCGTGCTAGATTCGGCCAAACCTTGCTATAATCAAACCAATGTGCAGCTTGGCCAGCCACCACCACATCAAACTCTCCATCAGCAGCAAAAGACAGATCCTCTGCGCTAGCCTGGCGGAAGGTGATCTTGGGATCCTCTGATGTGCGCCGAGCCTGCTCAACCATGCCCGCCGACGGATCAATAGCAAGTGCGTTCTTGAAGTGGGGACTCAACGCCCGCACTATGAGACCATGGCCACAACCAAGATCTAAGAGAGATCCTGAGAGGGTAGAGCGCTGGTGATATGCCAGAATACTCTGGTAAAGCCCTTGGGGGTAACTTGGGCGAAAGGCTGCATACGACTGAGCGGAAAACGTGGGACGACTAAGACCTCCAATCTTGTTAACCATGATCGAAATCGTCAAGAAAGGATACATACGCGAATTGAGACATTGAACGTTTCGAAAGTAATACTATCCCTTGCTGGTATGTGTTGAAAGTTTGGAAAATAACTCTCACAGTCTCTAGGTAAGCTCAAACAGCCGGTGAAGAAGGATAAAAAAAGTATTTAGTAAACAACGCCTGATGATGAATGAGGCAAATAAATAAAAGGAAAGAAAAAATGAGCTATGGCTCAAGGACTTGGGAAATTCCACACATATATATTATATAATAGTTGACTTTATATAGGTAGTACTGTGGCCTAAGGCAGTGAAGTATTTATTAAACAGAATTTAAGTTATTATTAAGTTATTAATAAGCCCCTATTATATAGTAAATTTAAATTTATATTATATTGAATTTATTTTAAATAATCTTTTATTATATTATTCAATGCATTATTATAAAACTTATATAAAATATAAATAATATATTTAGTTATACAAAACAATATCTTAGATATTAAAGTATAATAATAATTAAACACAAATATTCCCTAAGAGGATTATATAAGTGTTATTACTTAGAATACAAGGATCAAAGCATGCCATAGTAGATAAATCTTTTGTCACTTAGATCTTATGTATCAGTTATATTTGACTATGTCAGATTATGACAAGTAGCACCTCAAATTTCATTTTAGTGCTTACTGCAAGAATTGTCTCAAATAGCTATAAAATACGTCATATACCAAATTAATTGTCCTGACTTATCTATGGTTGGAAAGCAGTAATAAAAAATACCAAGGGTATTAATATAAATACTACCTTCCCTAATCTCAGTGGCATTAGGAAGAAGTGGATATAGTAAGCGCTAGCTAAGAGAATACTAGAGAATGCAAGGTGCTGAATTAAGCGAGAAGATTTCCCGCGGTGGGTCTACTTTTCATCGGATCGAACGGCCACAGTGCTCCGTTAGTGCGGTCTTAATACCCAAAAGCCCTGTTACAGCAGGGGGGATGTCCATCTGGGTATCCCCACGTTTTAATTTCCTTGGCTAATGGGGCTGGTGGGGGTTGTTTTTAAGCGCCGTGCTAGCTCCACACGGCATAACGGACATGCCGACTCCATGTGGTGTACAGTGGGTAAGCGAACTCCACATACTATTACAAAGAGAGTATGCTAGCAAGCAAAACATCCTTCAATTTGGAATAATAAAGAAAGTACTTCTTATTAGACTTAAGCAACGGATATATTCATTAATATTTTATTTCCAGTATAAACTAAATTAATCACGAGATAACTTTACGTCATCTTCCTGAAAGCAACGTTACAAGCGTTATACAACGCACTATTATGGCAAGTGGGTTATACAATCCGTAGTTTTACATTTCAAGGCAATCGCAACTTCCTACAACTCAGCTTGGCAATCCTGAATTTATTGTATTAATAAAAACTCTTATCTTACTATATAATCCAGTAGGGCCTAGACTCAAGTAATACTTTCCCAGTCAGCGTGCCCCTTGTGCTATGTGGACCTATTAGCAAAAGGGAAATGAGTTGTCCTTGAGACGCCCCTCGTAAAACCATGGGTTGAGTATTAGTTTACTACCTCCTTATACTCAGAACGTAAATGGCAAGGGTAGGTTGCAGTATAAGTGTAACCCTGACCAGAGGCATAGTCCTGTTAACTGTTCAACTCTCTATCCATCTGAATTGACTCTATTATTCTCCTACCTAAGTCGTCCAATTCATTATGCATTTCGCCCTCCAACTGTCATTGGCTCTAACTGCGGCCGCTGGAGCCTTGCCCAAGCCTTCAGGGCCCTTCAAAGTCGGATATTCTGACCATATTATCCCGCACGATACTCCCAATGATCCCACTCCGGGACCTGGCAATGAGCTTCTTGCTCACTTTTATTACCCTACGAATGATAAGGTACAAAGGACTGTTCCTTATTTTGATGAGGTTGCAGCGGACCTTTGGGGAGGTTTCATTGGACTGCCCGATGCACCTTCGCTACTGAACCTATCGACTGCCTTGATAGGCAATGCGAGCTATCTACGAGCTCCTACTGGACGTCCAACAATACTTTTCTCTCCAGGTGGTGGCGTCCCCGCCTGGATGTACTACGGATTGTTGGCGGATTTGGCGTCTTACGGCTACGCTATCGTTGCCATTGAACATCCTGGCGAGCCACCGTCGCTCAGGTGGCCCAATGGAACGCAAACAATCGGTTGGGATTTGAACAAGGCCTACACATCAGCTTTGGATGATCAAATAGCCGCCTACCATGTCAGCGATTTGAATGCTACTCTCTCTTGGTTCTCATCGTTTGTCGGTAGCACTGGTGCTCCTTTTAGTACATCACAGTATATTTCCCTGGGCCACAGTATTGGTGGCGGGGCCGCAGTGTCTTTCGCTGCAGTTGATAAGAGGTTGCAAGCCGTTGTGAATCTCGATGGCATATTCCGGGGTAATGAAGTCGTCGTGACTGATGTTGGTAGACCGGTCTTCTTAATGACCAGTGTCAACCACACCACGGCGGCCGATCCGTCTTGGAATGTTTTTCAACAGCATCAGACTGGATGGTGGCAGAGCGTTAGCGTTTATGGTTCTGGGCATCTCGATTACTCGGACATCACATCATGGAACAGCGCCTTGGGCTTCTCCACTTTGGTTCAGACTGATTTTGGCTTCCTTGGAGGAGTGAGAATGACGCAGATCATTCAAAAGTATGTCAAAGATTTTCTAGCCTTTGTGGCAGGAAGCGGGAAGGGTGTTCTTGCTGGCCCGAGTCTGGAATGGCGAGAGGTTATATATGTTGGTGGAAACAACCATTAATCTAGCCTCCCAGAGTACAAAGTGCTATCCGTTGGTACAGCAACTTGGTTAATATTACCACGACGTAAGAGTAACTTTAATGACTTCACCTACTTATCCATCACGATTGATTAGTATAATTAATGTTTTGTACACCACCCTCGTGTCTGAATGACGATGCCAGTACGGTGCCGCATAGTGTCATTAAGCTTCTGCAATGACGCATCATCAAATTACTCCCACGACTCCACAATGTACATACATTTCAAGCAGTTGAGGCGCATCCATCTAGTGAGGTAGGCTTTGAGGCTCGGGTTGAGTATCGTGTAAAACTCCTTTTTGTAAATGCCCCAGATCGTGGTAGGTTCATGTCGGGTGAATATGGGAGCCAAGGTAGGTAGCCACCATTGGACTTTACGGGCATTGTGAGTACATGCGTTATTATGCGTGGATTACTTAACCTCACATAATCCCTTGATTTTCCTCCCTGGACCTTCAACGCTAAAGCCTCACGCGGATAGAACGGCAGTACAACCTTACTTTTCAGACTGGGGTGGAGCTATTCGAAGGATCTGACACTACCGTCCAGCTAGATCTGAGCTTATAGAGCGCCATTTTAAGAAGAAGCGTATTGAGAAGACATTGGATCTGCTGGATTGGAGCTCATATTCGGGCAAGGCAGCGCTGGAGCAGTGCTTGGTTGCGAGATCATGCGCATCGAGACGCAGTGCTTCAATTGTAGATATGAAAAGATATACAGAGACGGGTCCAGATTGCCCCTCATCCTTATACAATATACAAGGAAGAACAACAAAATAGGCCATATCTTAGCGAATGTGGTTATTCTATCCCTGTACCTGCTCAGCCAAAGGATAACTCAACGATTAGACAGACGAGTTGGGCTTAAAAAACGCGAGACAACTCGGATACACCAAAAGGCGATGAAGAAAACTCATTCGTTAAACTAAAGACATCTATACTCTAGGATTTAGAGATACACCGAATTTTACAATCATCAGGGTGTGACGTGGCGCGTCGCGAAAACCATTCACCCTCAGCAAGCTAGCGTGGACTTTGTTCTACATGAGATGTCTCACAAACAAGGATGAAGGGCCCCGATCCGATGTGAAGTCAAATCTGCATAATTAATACTGGGGATAGATACGACGTTCTGAATGAGAATATATTACTTCAATAGAATGTAAAACAATGAGCCTCGTCGGGAGTTCAATGCCAAGTTCAACTTCTCACAGTGCCCACGGCCAACAGATGATTCACGTACACATTCATAGTGGCAATAGTTCAACCTGGTTTTGATAAGCCTTCAAATGCCAAATAGTTGACTTCTAAATTCTCACCTCTGTTGAAGATCCATGAGAGCTGCTCGGTGCAGAATGTCATTAGCTTTAAAGAGTTAGAACAGGCAGCCGAAGACACTCTTGGTTCACATGTTCACTAAGAGCACGAATAGCAATACTAGATCAGGGGGTTATATGGTAACCCCTTTGTGTATTGACAGACGAGTGACTCGCCTCGCATTGAGATTATGCAAGGCTGCCGTGTAACCTTCAGCCGGTTATTCCTGCGATGGGATACAAGATTGGTATATAACAATTCATGTACCATCGTTTAGTTCATACTTCCTGATCTTGATGTGTGGGTCACAAGAAGCAACGTTACAGGTCCCTTCTATAGTATGTAGTGATACTACGCAAGAAGTTGAAAGGGGTTTAAGCTTCTCGTTATTGAAACGCTGTCTCACTCTTCTGCTCTATCAGCGTTTCTCTCAAGATGGGGCCAATGAGCTGAACATAGATAAAAGCTGCGCCGCCATCAAATTTGGCCACTAAAAGATGTTTTCTTTTTCTTTTTCTTTCTTTCTTTCTTTCTTCTGTTCTTTTTTGCGTGTCAAGGTATTTGCTATTGTGTTGTGGCACCACCTCGATATCGGGTAAGATGCACGTCCCTGTTAGTCCTCTTTACCCACTTCGCCAATCGCAGTACCAAAACCGAGACATGAAGCTTTTTCGGTCCAACCTCACTCACTTCCCAACATGTTCTCCATGAGATCTCGCATCTTCCAGATAGTCGGCCCATTAAACATCTTTAGCTCCTCCTCGAACAAGATATTCGTGCGACCTTCTCTCCTGCTCTCTCTTCTTTCTCCCTTGGCTCCCGGCTGGTTTGTCGACCCTTTTACAATATTCAGGCTAATCGACTTTGAGAAGCGACATCTGCGCCTGCTAGTAATATGACCGTCCAATTTAATCACAGGAAGCTTTTTGGTGGTATTGGTTCTTCTTTCGTACTCTGCGACTGTCGACCAGTACCACGAGTTGGATGACGAAGACATCGAAACAGAGTTGTACAGGCGATAAGCTTTGAACCGACGAACATCTAAGCTTTTGGTGCCTCAGTCCTCTGTCTCCTGCCCTTGGGCTTGCACTATCATCATCAAAATCTCCCGGTAGCAATTACCAACCCCTGGTTTGACTCCTCACCAGAAACATTCATCTGAAGGACTCTTCCTCAAGGTTGTCGCAATGCACAAGCAAAGCAGGGACAATGTCTGCCGTCCTGTGCCTGGTGGATTGTATAAGTGCGGTAAGACTCCAATTCACATAAATTAGCTCTATTTCCAGGAGTAGGAACTACTGAGAAAGCCCGTCCTTCACCTGACAGTATCCTGCTCTTGGACGAGGTGGTAGATCGGTGGACGAGGCGACTGGCACTTTTGCATGGTTTTGACCTCAAGCGGAGCGATATGTCGAAAGACGACCGCGACTTACTGCCATGCTAGCTCGAAAACTGGCCAGCTCTGTTGTCTAATCAGGGCGATTAGCGTCACTAATCACCAGCCTCCCAGGGCTGGCTCGAGTCCTGCCCTATATCCAAGGCTTTCAGCGTCCTGCCAAGTTCATCAATTCGGTGTTTCTCTACATATTTCCTAGGGTCAATCTTCTAAGTGGAAGCTTGACGGATACTCAAGCACATCGAATGATTTGCTATCCCGTTTCCGACAGGCCGTACTAATCCAATCCGCGATTACTTAGTCCCAAAAGCACACAGGAGTTCATCAAAGTGCCTTGTCGCCTCTTCGTCGACTTGATTGTCTCAAATTCGTATATCCGAATCTTCTGTGGGACTGTGTCGATCTCTACTTAATCATGAATACTTCGAGCAGAACTCATGAGAACTCCTTGGTGAGATTCTTAGCCACCTTCGAAGCCCTAACTGAAGCGCCGAGTTGAAGTAGATCGAGAGTATCAGAGTTCGTGGAGTGGGAGAGTGGGAGAGTTGGTGGCCCAACTACATTTGGCGGTCTGATGAGACCCATCGGTGGGAGAGAGTGCGGTCTTGGAAGGCATCATTTCCTTCCCGCGACATAAGGGTCACTATAAACTACTTATATCCCACAAAAGTCCCTGTTCGAAACTCCGGATCTTAGTCCACGAAAACTGTGACCACTATACACCCTCATGTCTTGCAGCCCGGTCACGGGCTGGGGGCTCTTATCGCGAAATTCTGACTGCGACATCGAAGCTCCTACCCGATCCTTGGAACATTACGCCTGATGAGAATTAGAGACTACTCTCAGGCAAATCATGGGTACACTTTGGCTCAGATGTTCTATGTATGGAGGTCGTCGGCCTAACTAGCTTGCGCCTTGGTGTTGTTGATCGGCCTGGGTTGATATCGATGGCGACTTAGGACGAGAGCGAGGATGATATGGGTGGTGTTCAGACATGGTCACCTCATACCTTGAGAGTTCTCGTACTACAATTGCCTGATAAACTTTAGGGGATACCCGATCGCTCACCACCAATGGGAACATGAGCTTCTACTAACTACTACAAGCTGGGTCCGATGGAAATTATGACGGAGTCGATCTGTCTCTCTTTGCGCAAGACGCCCCACGCCGACTCCGAGCGGAAGTGCAACAACGTAACACGGTCTTCATGATATTCTTACCCAAACACGAACCAAAAAGAAAAATGGGATATAGCTCGATATTTTCGACACAGATGACGAACCGGCCGCCGCCGGCGCAGATCAACTCATTGCAAACAAGGCAGAAATCATGGACTGGGGAAAAGTAGTCAGCTGTTTCTGCTGGACGAAGAGCTCTCGGCTACCCAATATCTCAGGTTTACTCCCGTACTCGAGGATGTGAGTTTTCGGAAATTACAGCTTAGCCTTTCTTTCCGAAATCTCTTCCATGAACAGTCACAGCGGTGGCACGATATCACCAAAGAGCATGTCGCCCATATCTTAAGGATTATATCGCGATGGTTGGGCCAAGGTATTCAGAAAGTCACTACGGAAGAGAAGATTCAACGCGAAATTTACAGAATTCTTCGGCAGTGGTCTGATGAGGCCGAGAGACTCGCCTTAGAAGAGCTTGGCAAGCCGATGAAGGACAATAATATGGGTCCATTGACCAACAACCACTACTGCACGGATAATGTACTGGAAGAGAGGCTGATGGGTAAAAGAGATGCTGGCAGGGCAGCTATCCAGCCTATTGCTAATTACGATTTTACAAGTTGCGTATTAATTGCCAACCCGGTGAGCTCGAAAGACCAATGGGTGCGACTGAAGCTGGAATTACAGTTGATGTGAGTTTACCCAAGAGTTGCTCGCCTAACCTACAATCGCCTTGGGACATATGGAAATAGCCGTGAGAGCCCATATGGGCGCGACGTATCAAAAAAAAAAAAAAATAGATCAGCCTAACCTGTGTATTGAAAAAATACGGGGGGCTGCAAGCGACGAGCACTCCATGTCAAACCAGAAAGTCGCCGAGATACAAAAACATACTATGGGAGGTAGTGTCGTCATTGTCAATACCACCACACCATTCGTACCGTGTGCCTAGTTTCGTCTATCGCCCACCCAGGCACTTCATTTACCCGACCTGCTTACTGTCCAAATACGAGATTGACGAGGAGGAGGAAGGTGGACGGGACAAGCAGAAAGACACCTCACATACGTGTCATGGCTGTGAGAGACTTGCATCAAACAGATCACGGATGAGGTGCTAGGCAAGGAGCGTGGGGGGGCGGATCCCCACCACGGATCTGACGGATCGTCTCCGGTCCGACCAGCTCGCCAGTGCTAAATCACATGCCGTCAGAGAATGCGCCTAGCTTGGTCGGGATTTATCCACACATCCTACATAATTAAGCCCTGGTCAATTTACTAGTAAATACGGCGACGAGCAGCTACTACATACAGGGGGTACATGTACTCAAGGTCGATCCTAATTGCCACTATGGCTACTACACCTGGTAGGGCTAGCCCGCAACACAGTAACATTGGCAATGCAAGGTTTGGAATTCTGTAATCCTACACATTACCTGTAGAAAGTTAGGATGTTACCGAGAACTCGAATTGTCCAGACATAATAAACATTATAACAAATGCCTACGTGAATCAGCCGAAGCAAGAGTGTTCGGACACAGATACTTGGCATATCATCTAATGGGAAATGCAAATTCTTCAATGAACCGGATGCAGGCAAATACGTGGTGTAATTTATCAGTTTCAATTAAGGCAATAAACTATATCGCATTCCACGCATCATCTTCGAACATCTGTTCAAAGTGCTAGAGCGTCACTTCTAGACACAGACTTAGGGTCTAATGCAGGCGCTTCACCAACAGCGACTACCCGGTGGCAAACGCGCGGTTCACTATAATCGTAGGTAGCTGTGTGATAAACAGCTCTATTATCCCAAAGTGCGACATCGTTGACATCCCATTTAACTCGGGCCTTAGTGTGTTAGATACTCTTCAGACACAAGTATTAAACCAGGCTAAACTTACTTGAAGATCATGGTTGTCGGTTATGAGCTTTAACAAGAAGGCCTTGATCCATTCCTGTTCTGCGGGGGCAAGCCCATTCACTTCCTGCAAGTGATGCCCAACGCCGAAGATGGATTTCCACCCAGTGACTGGGTTTGTTCGAACAATGGGATGTTCAGCAGTCAAACTTTGATCAATGTTCAGACTGTTTCCGCGTGCGAAACTGTACAGATGGGCATGCTCTGGATTCGGCTCGTAACCGACCGGAGAGAAGGTTCCTGTCAGAGTTTCAAGGAATTGTCGCATGGGTGGGCTGATCCTATCATATACCTCGTATGCACTGGCAAAGATGGTATCTCCGCCAGTAGAAGGGCATACACGGTTGATCAAAGATGTGTAGTCCGAACATACTCGCTCGAACGCAATATCAGAATGCCAGCCATCAGCAGCGCTTTGCTTCTTCAATGCTTTCTTGCCAACTGTTACACCGTTTTGCTTCGATAGCATCTTGTCTGGATTCCTGGCAATAGTAGAAATTTGCAAATCGGGCTCGCCACCTTCTTCATGATAGGTGTGATTGCTGACCTGTTAGCCAATGACTGAAAAGGTTTACATAAGGGAATGCCTCACATTGGGTGGATGTGTAAACTGGATTCTTTTGGCTTGTTGGTAAGCTCTCCCAGTTTTTGAGTCAATAATTTCTGCTGCTCAGGAGACAGAGATTGATTTTTGAAGATTACCAGCCCACGTTGGGAAACTACAGACTGTTAGCATTTCAACGCTGCAGCGAGATGGGATCTTACTAGTAATAGCCAAGTCTCGTAGCTGTTGGTCTGCATTCTCCGAACTCAATACTGCTCCCAGATCAATGTCTGTATACTGGCGGCCCAACACTTGGGTTACGTCTGTATACTTCCAGTCCTTGATCGAGTCTCCTAGTTGGAGGGGAGCAGGAAAAGAAGCAATGAACTTGTCCATTCTTCTTGGCTTTTTGGATTGTAATTCAATGTTATAAGTATTCGCAATGGCTTTCCAAATGCCGTGGACTAGGAGTTCAAAGTGTATAAGCAATAGCGAGTATCGACGGGAGGATAGACTTAGAGGAGGAAATCAACTTTATACTTGGCAAGAATATGCCTTTAGGAGCTTCTATTGAGCCTTCTTCACCGATTAGCAATCGATTCAACAAAGAGATTGATGACACCTTCTTCTTAGGACTAGGATGTAATCGCAAAGGGACAAAGTAAGCACTAGATGGTGGATAAATCTGCAGACACGATGAAAAAAATCAAGGATCGTATGACCTGCAGTAAATCCTTGCCAAAGCGAATGTTTCATTCGGTACTCGTACATACTTTGCTTATGCCGCTTAGCCGGGATCTTCTATCGACTGACCAATAATGCGGTGAAATCTATTACTCAATGGCCCGTCGCAATGGATGTGCAATTGGCATAAAAAGGAGAGTTGCTGAGCCTAGTCTTCGAGAAACGAAACTCGTGAGGTTTAGTTCTCTTCATTATCCATCATCAAAATGGCCTCTTTAAGCATAGGTCGAGTTTCCAACCCGAAACTTTCCAATAAAAAGCTTTCTAGACAGAAGAATAGCTCTTACACTAGTTCCGCTATATGTGGTAAGTTGGCGGCCTTCTTTGTATCAACTGCTTCCATACTAACGACCATCCATAGGTGGCATTGCTGGTATAAGTGAGGCCCTTATTTGTCATCCATTAGGTGAATACTAGCTTTAGATGCGCTACGCAACTTTCACTAAGATTTTTTTCTTAGATACACTCAAAGTCCATATGCAAAGTTACCGAATAACTCCTGCACATGGCATGGCTACGCATGCTGTTATTAGACATCCTCACGGTATGTAAAACTTTGTCTCCGAAGACGCTTGACTAATGTGATTGTGATTTGCTGGATAAAGTGCTCGATTCATTACGAGTAGTGAGGCAAGAAACGGGCTTTTACCGAGGGCTTGGAGCAGTTTTGCTAGGGATAGCGCCCAAGATGGCTGTACGTTTCTCCAGCTTCGAGTTTTACAGCACATTGTTGGAAGGGAGAACGAACGGGAAAACAACAAATTCTCTTTTCGGTGAGGACTCTATGAGCTTCAATCTAACAGGAGAGCTGCTAACCATAACTAGCTGGTCTAGCCGCTGGGATTACGGAGGCGGTCCTTGTCGTAACGCCTTCAGAGGTCCTCAAAATTCGCCTTCAGACACAAAAGAGCCATTTGCGAGAGACTGGTATCAAACCACCTGGCCTATTGGGCACCTTGAGGCAGATCATCAGCCAAGAAGGAATTCAAGGTTTGTGGAGAGGGGTTGGGCTTACAGCTAGTCGACAGGGAACAAATCAAGCAGGTGAGGGGTTCATCATAATCACAAATGACATACCGATAACCCGCTAACATAACTCTCAACCGGATAGTCAATTTTCTTGCATACTCAAACATCAAAAACAACCTTCTTCATAAGCAACCAGAATACCAGAATTCTGGTCTTCCAGTGTGGCAGACAGCGTTGTGCGGGCTTGTGGCAGGATCTTTAGGTCCTCTGGCAAATGCGCCAATCGACTTTCTTAGTAAGTACATCTCCACAGAGTGACAAGTTCGGTAATTTCTGACACCCTCTGTTAAAGAAACCACGGTGCAGAAGCGTGCTGGCCCAGTCAATGCGCAAAACTCATTATTCCTACTCCTCAAGGATATTATACAACGAGAAGGTATATTAGTTTTGTATCGAGGGGTTATGCCAAGAGTTTTGAGAGTTGGTATAGGTCAAGCTGTGACATTTTGCACGTTTGAGACTGTCCGAAAAATTATAATATAACTACATGTACTACGTAATAAAAGGAGGACATATATATATATTGAATAAAAAAATATACTTATGAAATGAACGGAATTGTTATTTCATTATTAATTATGTTGTAAAAAGTTAAAACAAATTATATTAATTAATAAAACTTTGATGTTAATTTGTTTAATATATAAAAACCCATTTATTTTATTGAAGTAATTATTAAATTTTAATCAAGATTATTAATACTATAATATTAAGCTAATAATATAACTTTAATATATAAAAAAGTATACTATTAATTATATAAATTATTAAAAAGTACTTGATAGTTTTTGTTTAGTAAGTGATCCCCAATAGCTTACGTTGCAATGGCTGCCTAAATTGCCAGGAGGGAATTAAGATTTATAACAGTTAAATTCCCTCTATTTCGCTTCACATCCTCAACAAAAGCAAGTTTCAACACAACAAAACTAGAGACAAAATGGCCACCGCACCAACCAAAGTGGGAAGTGCATTCCCTGCTAACTTGATCTTCTCGCATATACCTGCAGCAGCCGATCCTGGACCAATTACTACATCCGGTTCTGCACCAGTTCCATACAACGCTTCCGAAGGTAGTGATTCTAGAAATCTTGCGAGTGCCATTAACTGACCTGGTAATAGAGTTTGCTCATAAAAAAGTTGTTCTTTTCTCAGTGCCTGGAGCATTTACACGAACTTGCTCTAACAAGCACCTTCCGGGCTTCTTGGACAATATTGACAATTTCAAGAAGAAAGGTGTGGATATCGTTGCTTGCATTGCTCACAACGATGCACATGTGATGAATGCATGGAGGAAGGCATTCAACGTACAATCTGAAGACATAGTAAGCCGGGATTATACCTTTGTTCTCACACCGCTATGGCCGCTTATTATTTCACAGCTTTTTCTTTCTGAAACAGACTTGGGTTTGTCGAGACAACTGGACTGGACGAATGGCGATCGTGGCGCACGCTACGCTCTGATCATTGACAACGGGATAATTGTATATGCCGAGCAGGAAACCGAGCGTGGGGCGGTAACAGTCTCGGCTGCGGAGGCGGTGTTGAATCGGCTATAAGTGGCTTAGAGCGTTTATCATTATAGTGTTTATCCTTAGGCTTTAGATAAGGTAGCATTCAAAGTGAATACCCCAAACGTATTAGTATTATGGAAGCTAAATTAGTTCAACCTAGAAGAAGGATTTGTTTTATGTAACATTGTCTACGGCCACTTTGGGAAGTAGCTGCGGTAAGCGCTAAGATAAAGCACTCAGCACTAAATTCTAAAAGAGAAGAATAGGTAAGTACTCATCGCCCAAAGTAGTATATCAGCCTAAAGCAAGCCTTAGACAAATTAAGGCAGGCATGGGTCTTGCAGGTTACCCCTGGATTTAGCGAAAATCCTTAGCCTTGCGGCACGTCCCTAGACTTGCCGGGTACCCTAGACACAGGGGCTGCGGCATTAGTGTGCCGAATCCTCCGAATCGTACACACATCTTGCTCAAGGGTCCCCCTCGTGCCCCGTAGGGCCAGAGCGCCGCCCGCCCCATCAAGATGCCTTCACGGCCTGTTGCAGCATGCAGAGATCCACCGTGTTGCCACCGCGCTTAGATACCTAGACAAGGGACGTGCAATCCTCGGCGGTCGGGTAATGGCAAAGCGAGAAGACCTGGTATACACCCGTATAGGAGTAGCTTGGTAGCTAGGCTCACCACGGCGCTACCTCTTATCTGCAAATGCATGGGCATTCTCTATCCTTCCGTCCGGCCTGTGCTCCGTGTGTCCGTTAGAATAGCACAGACTACGAAGGAACAAAAGTTCGGCCGACATTGCAAGTGTGCGTTGGTCAGAGTGTACTGTAGCGCCGGGCTGTCTTCTCCATTCGGATCCTTCTGACTGACTCGCGCCGTTAATTCGTTAATGACATCATGGGTAATTTAGCTCCTGCTCCTGATGCAAGTGCTGTGTTACTTGTCTTCATTCCATTGGATTCCTTCGATCTACCTGTAGGCCTTCGTATATTCGTTTATTCGTGTAATCCATTAGGAAGTTGCCCGAGAGGCCTCCGTATAACACGTACGCCTGAAACTCAGGTAACTGCCAAGTCAACAACTCCGCAGCAGTAACCGCCGTCACTTCATTCACACCTACAATCTATCAGCCATGTCTCAAACGGCAATTTTCGTTGAACTGCTAGAGCAGCTTGCGGTTAATGATTGCCAATGCCACTGCCAAGTTGCTCTGCAGAAAGCTACTCAAACTTTCTACACGCTCGATGTCATTTTAGAGCGCAGCCGCTCTTCGGGTCTGTCGATATCGGAGACATCGGAGATTGCTTGGGCTCAGATTGGCAAAACCGGTGGCCAGCTGGGAAGCAAAACCACTTCGGCCACTCATCATGACCAACCAATATCACAACTGGGTCCAATTCAGCTCCTGATTGAGTCCGTGCAAAGGATACCACAGGCTTCTCCAGAGTCCGCAGTAGCCATCAAATTCCTTTTGCCGGCTGAGACGGGGTATCTTGCGCGCTCCGACATCATCCAACTCCGACTGGAAAGTTTGAGATTAGACGGAAAGATTGCCATATTTCCACGGCCCTTGGCTCAAGTCCAGAAAGCTGCATCGGATGTAGTTGCCAATGAATGCTTCACCGAACTGTTGGACTTAGCAGTGGGCGCAGTGGTGCAGAATATTGTATTGGCTAAAGATGCCCAAACTCATCTGAAAAGTCTACAACAAGAGGTGGCCTTGCGTCTCTCGCTTCCTTGCATACTGTCCTCGCCTCAACCGACAAAGCAGCGACTTGCCCTGATTCACCTTGGGCCAAAATCCCGACTCCCAGTTCTTCAAAAGGCCAAAGCCCTCGGGATAAGTCTAGTGATCGTGGATGCGTCTGATAGTTGGGTTCAGTCCCCAGATTATCGGGATTATATCGATGATTTCGTTGCTATGGACATGGCAGTTGAAGATGATAGTCCTACAGTGGCTAGGATCGTTGAGGCAGTACAGTCCTTGTCAACTCCTGTAGACGCAATTGTCTCCCTCACGGACAGGTTTCTGCATCCAACCGCAGAAGCAGCCAGGATTTTAAAGCTTCCCAGCGAGCCGCCCTCCGCATATGAAATTGCTGTAAATAAGCACAAAATGCGAGAACTAAACCTGAATGGCACTCAAATGTTGCATATATCTCGCCTTGAGGACTTAGAGCAGAGCGTAGCTTCCAGCCGTGACTGGTTGACATATCCCTTGGTTGTCAAGCCGGCCCAAGGTGCCCAGTCAAGAGGTGTCAGAAAGGTCAACTCTGAGCCGGAGCTTCTCACGGCTGTCAGACAGGCTTTTGAACCATCTAGTCGAGGGGTGCTCATTGAGGCCTTTATAGACGGCCCTGAGGTTGATGCCAATTTTGTCCTTCTCAACGGCGAAATCCTCTTCTTCGAATTGGTTGATGAAATTCCATGCGTGGATGGTTTCGCTGAAAACCAGATGTTGGTGCCCTCCATGTTTCAAGAGGACGATGTGGCTTTCATCAAATCATATCTGCACAAGCAAGTCCTCCAGATGGGGTTTTCAACAGGAGTGATGCACGTTGAGGCTCGAGTCCGCCAAACCACACGAGTGCACAGCATTGATGTCCATGGTACTCTTCACTCCCAGCCGGTCTTACCGTCACAGAATGCCACTGGTGGAGCTGGCATCTTCATAATTGAAGTTAATCCGCGAGCTCCAGGGAGTGTCATGAACGATATTACTTGCCTAACTTCGGGAGTGGATTATCTTTCTTTGCAGATGCTGTTTGCGCTCGAGAAGTTTGAGACGGTCAAGGCCCTATCCCAGCCAATGTTGGAAGGTACGCGCTGCTGGTCCAATGCTGTGGTTATCTCGACAACAAAGCAGGGTACGATGATGTCTGGTGACATACGAGACGACTTGGCCCAGCGCCGTCCTGATCTCCTAACGTACGTTACTCGTTATTATCCTGTAGTGCGACAGGGGCAACAAATTAAGCAGTGGCCTTCATACGTCGCACTTTTCCTTGTGTGCTCCGATGTAAGTCGTGAGCATTCTATCGAGATCGGCGAACAACTCAGAAGCGAAGCTCGAGTTGAGATAGTATGAGATTTCTCTCAGCCTGGGGGTGGCAGAGACGGGAATGTAGAAAGCAAGATCTCAGCCAGAACTTCTCCACCGAGTCTATATCTCGTAAGCCCTTTCATTACACGCGTTACCACACTATTGGTAGTAGACAAAAGTTATTCTGTACTTGAAGCCGAACAGCACGTTCCAAGGATAAGCTAGATACTGAGTATTAAGATTAAAATCAATTCAATTTTATTTACTTATATCAATCTCTACGCAACTACATTCTCTTCACCCAAGGAATTAAAAAAAGCACATTATGCGATACACTAATCACCACAGTTCAATTACAACCTCGTTATAATGCAAATACTAACTTTTGAAAAGCAAAGAGATTAAATACCTGGAGGCCATTGAGGTTTTTATTTTGACATAAATAATTATATTGAGTTACCTATTATAAGTCATCATCCTACGTATGTAAATCTATTATCTGACCACGAGGTATTTTGACCTCAGTATAAAACTTGGAAGTAAAAGTCATTCATCTCTTATCCTACTAGCGTGTTAAGTTTACAAATCGCAAATCCGTTCCGAGTCCGATTTACCCTCTGGGCCATTATTGATAATAGAAGCATGGATCCAATGTTAAATTTAGTGCTTGTTAAGTGTTAACATTATGAGAACACGACGTACCATATGAGGAATATGCAAGACCACGTCTTCAACCTCATACGCTGACATCAACCACATGCGTCCCCAGTCTCTTGCGCATTCACGTAGAAACTCCAATAGAAAGCCAGTACCCACCATACGAGAGTTGAAGGCGTTCCGTGTCTCTTCTTCACTCATTTCAGTCGCCTTGGCCTTACGGGAAAATTCCTCTTCCATTTCTTGTCCTATGCTGTCCCCTCCCTGTAAGTAAATAAGACCTCTTCCATCGATACGGATGTCTCCCATCGGAATCCGTGCTGTTAAAGCCGTCGGCTCACCGTATACCATAAAGGTTTGGTCATTATGAACACCTATGGCTCGATTGCCGGGAGTGTTATTGCGAAGCAATGTGCGTCTGACAGTCAAGGTGCTCTTGCCATAGCTTGTTAATTCGGACACGAAGTTCAGGAGAACTCGGTGGTTGCAAAAACAGGGAATGCCGTCCTTTTCTGAGCCCGAGTACCATGGCTCCGTGTGTGTCTTGATAGCTGCTTTCAAAAACTGCGCCGCTTGATTACTAGTACCAGAATTTATGTCTAAGTTGCTTGCTCCAATGCCTGGGTTTTCAGAAGTCGAGGCAGACGAGTTGAATATCCCATCCATAGGTGCTGTACCTGGCTGCAGGATACTAGTGGTCTCGAGTGTGAAAAGATAAACCTTGCGAGCCGCAAGAACATCCTCGCGTAGGAGGCCCTTGAGGAATACATACCCTTCAGTTTTGTAACGGCGAAAGAGCTCATTGATGGGTTCGGCGGAATAAGAGACTCGCAGTTCACAGTCGTTGGTGGGTGAGGCCCTTTTTGACACGAAGCTGGAAACACTGAATCGTGAGACTAGAGACCGTTGTAGGACCCTTGGCGTGAGACATCACGAATATGATTCATTCGTGCGAGAGAGAAATATGTTTCAACGCCACTTGTATTGAAAGTCAGATCAGCATTTGGATGGAATGAACAAGGTGCCCTGACATTTGTGAGCTAAGGATACCGAAACTTTGATATGAATCATGGCTCTACCATGACCCTATTTGGAACTACCAATAGGTAGCTGAATATAGTATCCATATGCATGTTGTGACAATACGCTGACTTAGTTATTGAACCCGTAGCAGCCACTTTTAGGAACCAATTGTCGGACTCGACAAGAGATTATGAAGCGAAAATAGACAAGGGCTAAAGCGTGGAAACCTATGTCATGTCTAATGTGGATAGATACATCGCAGGAACCTGAGCCATGCTGGTCAGCAATGGCGTTGCAAAAATAACTAGATCAGATACATTTTCCGGCCTCCCAATCATTGACTGCCCAACGTGATAGTTTGTAGCCCTAACATGGCAATCTTGAGATCATCGCGGGATATTACGCTAGGATTCCTTTGTAGTAGATGTGGGGGATTTGGATAACAACAGAGGGGAGCTTAGTTGAGGGAATCAGTCCGGCACGTGATGATGCTTCCTTACTAGAATCGGTTATGACAAGACAGTCAAACTGAACGTCAAAAATGCAAAAGGAGCATCGTGTTTGCTTTGGGCAATCCTTTCTAGCAACCCTGACACCAGGGCGTTGTACAATGATTAAATACAGTATCTCTAATGAGTATGAGGCCGGCGACAATGCCAGATTCTAGAAACCACAATCTTTACAATCGTATATGAATCAGATATTTAATGTTGTCCCCCTCGATCATTTGTCTGACTTGCTCGATTTGAGATGTAATCTGCCGTAACATATCTGGGTTCGAATTCAACCCATATATATTTTGCAACCAACGTCTACATGATTGAGACTTGGGCCGCGTTATGGCAGAAGCTAAATTGGCAGACATCTGTGGATGGGCCCACGCATTCCGATACGTGTTAGAAGCCCAAGAAGTCGCCGATGCCGCCGCCAGGCAAGGTTTGGAAATGCACGTAGCTTACATCTGTGGAGATTTCCACGAGCCTTAGCTCGCTAAGGCGGCCACAGCAGAAGATAGCCGACGCCCTGCGCGCTGTCGGCGTGTGGAATCTCATCATCCAACCCGACCAGCTCCCCCAGGGGGCACTCAAGACAGACGCCCAGCTGCAAACACAGAGCATCGCCGTCTAGGAGCTGAGGGCAACTCTGTCCGCCATTGGCAGCCGACTACTTTACCATACGCATGCCGCGCACGGGAGTTCCACAATATGATGGCTAACTCCGATCCTGCATCGGTTGGTCTCTGTTTGGACGTATATTGGGTCTATCAAGGCGCCGATAACAGCCAAACAGCTGTAAATGATATTATCTCGCTGTATGCGAAGTGATTCGGCCTAATTCACCTACGACAATCCGTGAACGGTGTCTGGAGTGAAACTATTTCTTCTGAAGATATCGACTATCCTGCACTTGCTAGGCATCAACCCCTGTCTTAGAGGCACCGTGGAGGATCTATCTATTTGGGGCTGGTTTCATCGCACGCCTCCATGCAGCTACGGCCAAGAAACTTGGGCGGTACCAATTATTTGCTGCTGATAACTCGAGGGAGGCCCGTAACGGTTTCTCAAGAAAGTATCCTCATTCCCAGGTGTGCGAGGATGCAGAGGCTATGTTAGCTAGCTCCCCGCACAAGAGCGCGGTATAATCGTCATTGCTGTGACTCTGGGTCGTGCCTGAGGAAGAATCCCGTCCGGAGGTATTAGAGATCCTGACCACGCACGCCTAGTAAATAGGAAGCCTCGAATCCGTCCCGGTATCGAATTCTAGCCAGCAGGTCGATGATTCTTGGAAAAGACCCAAGCTGGTGGCAGTATATCCTTCTATCGGGGTGACTATGATCTTTCAATGTTCTCGATGTCCTACGCCCTGTTGTCGTTGTCGTTCATTGCGCATATATGGCTGTTTGTTTGTGGTTTGTCTAGCGCGCCTACTCTATAGGTTATTACTAGTAATTATAAAATAATTGGGCCGTAATACTGAGATGATATTTGGTTGTTATATGTCATTATTCTAATGCCCAAAGAGAAGACTTTGATGAGTATCAGTATAAGAATGCAGTAGCCGAATTCCATCCTGGTTACCGTGGGGAAAACATTCTGTTAGCTTATTTGGCTTAAATACTGTTTATAGCTGACAGCTTATAAGCTAGATTAAAATCATCAGTATGTTATACTCTCCAGCACACATACTAGTATGTGTGCGGCCACTTTAGGTTGTACTGCCGCTCGAAGATCAAGGCTGTGTTAACCTTGTTCACTTGGGTTATATTGTCTTTGCTACTGGTAGCACCTATGTTGTGAGGCAGGCCAGATTTGAACTTATGAATTGGGCAGTAATATTGTATTAAAAAAAATCATCGGGCCCTTTGTATTTAATAGTTCACATTCTCTGGCGTTAGTAAAGGGACATTAGTATACAATGGGTAGTCTCGGGTGTTTTACATCAAAGGTTTAGTAATAGTCCGCTTGGAATATTATCTCTTGAGGCTCTCCACAGGGCTCCCCCTTTACAATAAAAACAGGGATCTCTTTGTAATCAGATCCCCAATACAATATTAATCTTAATTCATTTTGATGAGTTTAGCAAGTCCATTCTTTTTATTAACCAATGATACGTCGTACCGTTAGTACATAATGACTTCATAACGCAGTCCAGGTTTTACCTCCATAGACTCAATATAATCAATTATTTATAATTTAATATTTTGACATAGGGATATTCTGTTTTCAATTGATATATAAGATAGCTATAAAGAAAATTTATTTTGCTAGATAGACAACTGCGAATGGACATCCTTAGTCCAGCCGGAATATCTCACCTGAGCTCAGCTATCTACTGACACAAACACTTATCCCACTAAGAACTGAAAACTGGCCACTCAAAAAGCAATTGTGCACTTCGGAAATGGGAAGGTCGCTATAGTGTCAGACAGAGCTATTCCCCGGCTGCGATCTGGACATGTCTTGGTGCAAGTCAGGGCGGTTTCCCTAAATCCGACGGATTGGAAACACATCGAGTTTATCAACACTCCTGCTTGTCTCTCAGGGATCGATGTCACCGGAGTGGTTGTAGAATTGGGGTCGGGGTATGAAAAAGATTGGAAATGCGGGGATAGAATCTTTGGAATGACTCATGGCGCCAACAGTCTGGAAAAAGAGGACCGGGCTTTTGCTGAAAAGATTGCCGTAAAGGCAGATGCTATGATGAGAATTCCGGATAATATGACGTTCGAGGAGGCTGCGTTAATGGGATGTTTCATCTTCACCGTTGGCCAGGGACTCTTCCGTAGACTCGGTCTCAGGCTTCCAAACTCGCGCACGGTTACCGGTGAGATCGTGTTTATCTATGGAGGCAGCACCTCGGTAGGAGCCATGGCGTTGCAACTAGTAAAGTTGTAAGTACAGAACAAGTATGCCCTTGAAAAAGTCTTACTAATATATGTGGTCAGAGCCGGTTACAATCCCATTACCGTATGCTCGCCAAACAATTTCGAGCTTGTCAAGTCCTATGGAGCCGGAGAGGTGTGGAATTATAATGATACAGAATGCATAGAAAACATCAAGCAATACGAGAATAAAATAGATCGGACCTGGGACACAATCTCCCTGGAGGCCTCAGCGAATTTCTGTGCGAAAATTCTGGCTCCCGGAGGCAAGTATGGGAAATTCCTTTCACCTAGGGATGCGAACAATATCTATGGTGCTAGAATTCCTAGAGAGGACGCTGAGGTCAGCTACACAGCAGCTTACACTGCCCTTGGTGATCCTGTAGAGAAGCTTGGGGTGAGGTTGGATGATAATACAGCCGGTTTCGGATTTCATCAGGGATGGGTTGCTGCCGTTGAGCCCCTGCTAGCAGCTGGGAAGATCAAATCACATCCATTGTGGATTCGCAGTGGCTTTGAGGACATATTAGATGGACTCGCACTCGTCAAAAGCGGCACAATTAGTGGCAAGCTGGTATACACTATATAAATTGAGACAAACATTAGTAGTTTTATCACTTGCTTTTGGTATCTTACCAACAAGGATTCTTCAGCATGTAAGCTGAATATTTTTGTAGTCTGATTGTCGATTGGCGATTGTACTGATTAATAATTATTACATATATAATACTAAAACTCGACTACTCATCCCAACGTCATGCTGCCTTCTTGGATGATTATGACTTATATAGAAGCAAATAATAATGTCGGAGTGGAGTTGCATATAATGGAATGTCATCTGTCTTCCACGTCTACACACAGTCGTTACTTGGATTTGAGTAACCACAATTAGCTTAATTTGACTTGAGGCGGCTACTATAAAGTGAGGCTTCCAGTTATGTGAGGGAGATTGCGCGAGACGCATTTCAGAGGAGAAACATACTAAATGGGATTCACACAGGCACTTATTGGAATCTATCAGTACAACGTTGTGGCACTCTTGGGGTTTTATAAAGGCTTCTTTCAAGAGAAATTCATCTCTTTCGGTACCAAGCTTACAGTGTTTTATGAGTGCTAGAAGATGTAGATTGATGTGAAAGAGGTATTCATACCTTCTGGGCACTCATATGGATACTATATAGAATCATTGCAGATCGTACACTCATGGACAAAATGTAACTGTTAATTCACTTATACGAGCGAAAAAATATATCAATCTCTCTGATCATATTAAGATTTTCATAATCCGCAGGTCATAATATGCTCAGCAGTGGCTGACTGGAGAGTCAAGCTGTACATCAAATGCCAGCTAGGGAGAGGCTAAAACCAAACACTGTGGCTCTTTCGTAAAAGATCTATGCAAGATGATGAGAAGAGTTAAATAGACGTGAACCGTCCCTGCCAAAGTGTCATCGCGGTCCAAAGGTGTCCAGGGCAAAAGACGGATACAGTGAGGCGCCCAAGATTCGTATAGCAAGACGGATTTGCCTGTAATAACGTAATAGTTGATTTCGTTTATGTATGTAAAAGAAGATGCTGCACGGAATAGACTCATCTCTTGTAAAATCTGGCGTAGTGTATTTTAAGCACGCCCCTAATTGGCATATTCATGCCGATTCCCACCATCACCGCGGCTCAGTAGGCCACGACATTCTTCGAAATAGGGAAGGATAATTACGAACTCTCACCGATCCGACTGCATAAGCCGTTGGTTGGTTCTGTCAAGATGCAAAGGTGCCTACATCTGCATATGGTTACAAGTTTCTGGCCTCCGAAGGGTTACAATACCGTTGCCTGCTGATTGCTGTTGTCTTTACGAGTTCCTGGACAATCGACGATAATGCCTAGCCGTTCACCATATGTAATACTACTATGTGATATTTTCTACGTATAGTTAAAGTTGCGGATAGTCATAGTAGCCCCTCAATTCCGCTATTCTTTTGGTCTTCACCCGCCTGTCGCATTGGTAGGACGAGGACCGACCCTACCATGAGACTAATGCTTGCTTGCTCTTCCCCTCCCTGCCTTCAACTTCACTACCTGCGCCATTAGTCTCTCAAACCTGGCTTTTTGACAACAGTAAATGCGACCGTAAACCACATACGACTTGCACCATTAAAGGTTCATCATGGTGAGGCAACAAGCAAACTACAATAGGCGTGAAGTCACAGAAGAAGAATGAAGGAGCCGCGCCACGTTGCCGATTCTGTGCAATTCATTGTCTGGGTTGTGCTTGTCGCCAATGCTACGGAGAGATTCACATTGTATGCCGTAACCACACCATGGCGTACGTACCAAAACAAACTCGAGAATAAGTAACCCCAATTCAACCACCCTCTCATCTTGTAATCTACCGTGACCCTTCAACAGATAGTGATGAAGTATATGTAGCTTAGTATTAGGTAGATCTTTTCACTGACTACATAGCTTTGGATTAACGAAACCGCAGTTTACGTCTCTCGCAGCTGAATACCAATGGGTGTTTTCCTGCTTACCTACCACATAGGATCAATTAGGTCTATCACAGTCTTCGGGACTACCATTCTCATTATCAACTCGGGCAAGGCCGCTACTGGTCTGCTAGATAATGGTGGCAGTATTGATTCTGGCGAAGTGAATCGCTTTCTTTTCCTTGTCCGGCGTGTTCCACACAACCTGCTACCTCAATATTCATACTGAGGCTAGCGCCATCAACCTCAAGATGACAGGCTAGTATTACAGCACGCAGCCCAGCGCACAAGGAATTGATCTTTGCGTTATAAAAAAAAAAAGACTAGCAAATAAGCATTACAAAGAATACAATGGAGGAAAATTATTGTGCTTATGAACTTAAGCTTACTACTTTAGGAACTTTAATGATTAGCGGCTGGCGCATCGCTTCAGTCTCACTGCAATCGGCCAAGTCTTATTGAGTGGAATCGCGGATTTGAACTATTTACCATGAACTTCTGCTACCATTGCGTTTACCCATGCTTCAAACTTCCATTCATCAATCATGTCGGTATGTTTCGTTGACCTTGCGCTATCACTCCAACAGTCCCGAGTTTTTAAGACAGCTTTAGCCATCCACATTGCTTGAGACACGAAGATGCCACCGACAAGCCGGTCATTTTGATAACTATCCCAGTCTGTGATCATCAAAATAATCGTATCTGCCACTTCTTGGCATGTGGACTCTAGTTCAGAAAACTGGGATGGCGAGAGCGAGACCAATAAGCGTAGCTGGACGAGAAGGACAAATATATAAGTCCCTATAAGCACCTTCCAGGAGACTGGCTGCTCGCGGACCGTTGAATATAGTAGTAAAGTGCTTGCCCCGGTGGTTAAGTTGCTTGATTTCTCCAAAATAATACCACACTGGTACTGCTCGGCTAACGCTAGCCACTGTTGAAGACGATCTCGATCAGTAAGAAGCCTTGTAATAAGTTCTTGGCGCCTATCGGCAGACGCTGGCGTACGAATCAGATCTTTGACGTCCAAAAGTAAGTTTGGGATATTAATGAGGGCTGTCCAGATTTCAACAACAAGGTGGACTTGGTCCAACGGCACAATTGGGTCATTGTGAATAGCGTCGTGGAGGACATTCAGCCAGCCTTCGTCATCACATAAGAAACACCTTTTCCCCATCAGGAGTGCTTCCGTAATCTGTAACGAGAAAACGAATTAGAGGTCGGCTCCATGCAGGCGGCTTGATGGATTCCTTGATTCATACAATGGGGCCAGCATGGGCCATGAAAAGTGAAAGCTCGAATTCTGTCCGGAAGTTGAGAGGACCTCGTAGCTCGATAATACGAGCTGCACCCGCTGCATGATGTATCCACGAGTGAATCATAGGCCCACCATGCAGTAGCTAGAGCAGATGAATAGATGGCACCAAATGTATTATCCGGGTCGTGGAACATTGAACATACCTCAAAGAATTCCAAAAGCAAAACCGCACATAGCGTTTCTGGCAGCGCTTGTAGATCTTCATTATTTATTGTTTCTTGAAGAGCTTCTATTGCCTTTGTGTAGTGGCCTAACGATAAAACATCCCTCTCTGATGATAAAATGCCCCGTGAGCGAATGAGCTGCTCTAATCTAGCAACAACACAATCAGTTGCGTATGTTAGAGCTGGGAAATGCCCATATAAACTCGGAATGAAGAAGAGAAGACGTTTCTTTGCATATTCAGGCATACTGGTTAAGGTATGCCCAAAGCAGGCTGTCTCGGGACGGAAGAGAGAAAGAGTGGTAACACCGAGATGGTGTAAGGTGAGTGGGTTGGTCAAGTGTAATAGTGAATAATTTGACGGATTCCCTGTTCTGAAACAGGTGTGTAATTGTGGCTTGTAGCCTGCACGCCAGCGGAGACTTCCTTCCAGCAAGGCTGTTCGATTTCTCGCAAGTCGTCTCTGAGCTTGGTCTTTATGAACCTCATCAGTATGGCCACCAGAATCGTTTACAGCTGTAACCAACGCTACGTTTCCATCTTCTACACCTGTGGGTTCATTTTGCTGCTGGGGCTCGAGTATCCACTCAGGATACTGTATCATGTTCAGCCTCTCATAGCGTCCGTCTCTCTTGCGCTGCATCGCGGCTTGCTTCATAGCCCGACTTCGGATCAGGGTCTTCACTGTAGGGTCTCTTGAGGGTCTGCCTTGATTACAGTCGATGAAAATAATTGTGTCAGCAACGCCACTAGAGCGTTCCATGGTTGTCCGGGTGTCGTGGAAGGAACTGTTCCAATGCGGGCCGATGCAGTAGAGTAGACAGCTCTCGGGAGCTGGACTGGACGGAAATCGTTAATCTAATGGCGGCAGCAGAAAACAAGGGAGACTTTTCCGACGCTCTGAGAGGATGAAGATACCTTGATTTATCAACGTACACTGGCTTGTCCCATTGCGGGTCAAGTAGCCCATGCACCGTGCCCAAAGACCCCAACTGTAGCCCTTATGTGAAGTTAAACCCCAAACCACCCTTCTTGGGCTATGTCGAAATGTACCCGTAAGCGGATGACCAACAATGGATCCCTACCTAGCTAGTGTGTTTCACTGACAAGGGGTCGAAGCCCCTAAAATAGACAAGCGCGGTATACGATGGTGGGCAAGTTCCGTCGAAAAGTTAAATAAGAACGCGTCATGCTACTGCATTCGCATCGAGCACGTGTAACTTCGCTAACAATGCATTCCGTACCTATGTAGAGATGAACTAACATGATGTGCTATCCAGTTACAACCCACTAGGTAGATATTTATAGTCTGAATCATCTGGGGAGTCGAAATCTACTCAGAAACTTCGCCGCTAGCTAAACTAAGCCTCAAAGCAGACATACAGGATTTGTGGGCTCTGCTTAGGGCCACATGCGCTAGTTTCTGTGATGTATAGACCGATGCGCCTTGTGCGTAGCTACGCGTGTATATGTATGAGCTTAGTCGGTAGAGCTAAAGAAACGGTTGAGTCTTGTCGTATAGTTTAGCAATGACAACAGCGCCAAATGCTCACATTGTCAGCACAAATAAACCCCATAGCCATCGCCTGGTTTTGGCTCCGAAGTTTACTCAGAGTATTAGTAAGACTGTGACCAACAGATATAGCGAATAGACTTTTGGTCGGTTAAGCCCAGCTATGGGACGTAGGTTGCAAGACCGCAAGTAGCAAGGCTTATTTCAGTACGATATCTGGGATTGTTGTTCATCGATGTTTTTAGAACCATGACCCGAATAGGCGAGACTGTAATCTTACAAAGAATTATTCAGGATTCGCCATTAGTATTCGTAGTGGTTAGGATCGGGACACTTTGGTCCAAACCAAACTCGTCGCTGCATTCATTCGCATCCAAATACGTATGCGTCGAAGGTTTTGTTGCTCGTTTCGCCGCTCCGCCTTAGTAACCACCTTGTGTACACTAGGAGGCATATATTACAGCAGGGTCATTGCCGGATAGCAACATAACCCTACCGCAAGGCGCGTCCAATGTGAGGCACAAACAATTTAGCAATTCTTGTGGAGCTGTTCAGGGTTTCCACGAAAAATTTGTAAGATGTCTATCTCATCATTTCATTGACGAATACAGACCATACCTAGTATCTGGGTGGTGGGGCCTGTGGTACGTAGTGACACTTTCCAGGATTAGGGGCCGTACTAATAGTGATTACCGTAAGATTTATACTTGGATCTAGGCTCTGTGGTAAGTGATAAATTAAATTGACTTGTCCCCCAAAACTGGCGATCAAACTCAGTTCAGAAATTTTGAAGAGAGCTGAAGCTGGCAGACAACCCTCATACGTCAACAGAGTCGATTCCACGCGCCAAATGGCTACTCGAGAATATATCCGATGGAACTCGCAAGATGTCGAGAAAATTCCCGAATGCGAAGCTGATGACATTCAAGCTGTCGTCGAGATGTTCGACGGGCTGCACCAGGCGATGTTTCAGGTGAACGGCCACGTCGTATCCGGAACTCATGGACGAAGCCATGGGGTTGTCAAGGGCACATTCATCGTCCCAGGCAATCTACCTAATCACCTGAAACAGACGGAGCTATTTGCGCAGGCTGGTGAGTATCCAGCCGTTTGCCGCTACAGTTCTGCCCTGCCGGACCCGAATGTGGACGTACGAAGCAATCATCTAGTATCCGTGAGGTTCTATGAATAACATTTTGTAGGACCGCATTCCCCAGCCTCGTGGTTTTGCTATAAAGCTATTCGGCGTCAAAGGTGAAATGTTTCACGAGGGGCGCGAAACCCCAACCCAAGACATTGAATTTAACAGCACTCCCGTCCTGGAGTTAGCCGACGTAAAGACAGCCAAGGAGATTATTGCTCTCAGATTCAAGCACGGCGTGGATCTGGTTGGCCTGTACAAAGACCTAGATGCTCGCGCCGATGCCGAACTGCACAAGAGCCAGGATCAGGTGCGCAGTACTCACCTAGAGTCTACTCGTCAATATTCCCAGACAGCCTACCGTTTCGGGGACTATATAATGAAGTACTCTCTTGTTCCATCATCCGAGATGCAGCGTGAACTTTATAATGAGTCAGTCCAATCTAGTGACACGCAAGACGTGCTGCACCACTGGCTACGCGGCTTTCACTTGCATCATGAGGCAGAGTACGAATTCCAAGTGCAATTGTGCGAGGATCTGGAAGACCAGCCGATAGAAGATGCCAGTAAGGAGTGGGATGCGGAAAAGTACCCATGGGAAACGGTTGCCAAATTGGTAATTTCGAAGCAAGATAGCTACAACCCCATTAGGAAGAAATTCTGGGAGGACTACATAGTGATCAACCCATGGCACGGCCTCGTGAGCCTGCAGCCGCTTGGGGGGTCAAACAGGCTGAGACGAGTCGGTTCGTTACTACTATTGCCGATATACGCCTGGAAATGCTAACGGATGTTACAGTGTATCCTACTAGCAGGGCCATGAGAAAGAAGCTCAATCAATTAGAGCCAGTACACCTCAAGGTTATTGAGGACTTTCCAGATGCTTGAAAAGTCTGATACAACCGATGCATTCCGTTTGATTCGGTGTTGTACAAACCGTGCAGTTGACCCAAGTTGGTTCGGATAGTGTCGTACATATGATACTTGAGAGTGATAGTGATCAAATATATACAAACCACCTTGCTTCAACCAACATAATTTACTTTGAAACCGAGACACGATCAGTTAGCACCTTGGCTCTTTATATAAGCTAGGTATTGCACCTTGCTTTTACTTGTGTGTAATATTTTTAAGGGTGGTTTTTATTGTAGGAATTTGGAGCATCAACCAAGGAATAGGGTCTACATAGAATGGTTGTATTCTGAATCATGATGTCGATTCGACAAAGGTTGTTTACATTCCTAGGTGGAGAACATGCAAAGCCCTCTCTTTCTCAGTTAAATCAGAATATTTATCCGTCTGTGCCGAACAGATCTCGTAGTCGGCTGATAGTTTGAAGAAAGTAACATACAGGCCCCTGTAAGGGGTCGTAGAAAAGTATCATCAAGAAACTCCGATGCCAATACATCCTGACTGTACAGAGCGTGGCCTGCTATCTCTGTACCTACTGGAAAGGCTTTAGAGAATGCCAGAATAGTTCTCGGCCTTGTATATGAGGGGATATGGGTATGAATAGAGAACTAACCTCTCTTTCTCAAAATCTGCACCGCGAAAAAGTATCACCAGAGGGTAAAAATAACCCAAACAAGTTTTCTAACATGAGATAATCGACAGCTTCTCGGCCGAGCCAAAATGCTTGTTAATATAACGAATTTGCATATTTCATAATTACCGCGCGACTCGCATTTGTGCGCTCCTTTGGACTTAGCGTCGCTTCGCTGGATCCCTTACCACTTCCAGCGCATCTGACTTCCGCACCGAGAGCCCCTGATTGCTAAGATAATGAAGAGAATCATAATATCAAGCATCAAAGCTCCAGCAACTCCGACATTTACCTTCAGGAGGTCGGAGTTTGCCTGCGGCGTTTTCCTATAGTGGCGGAGTTGAATTGCCTCGGTGGATAGATGAACATGGATCAATCTCAACAGCCTTACTATATAAGCATAACTATTCGACAACTAGGTAATTCTGAATCACTTAGGCAATTTCAAGAATCATATCTAAACTATGATCTCACAACAATTCTTTTTGCACACGCTCGATATCCACCGCCAAGAAATGTGGTCAAAAATCTCGCTCTATGCCTGCTTGCATTTTGCAGCTAGTGCCTTAGGTCACGGCGCGAAGCCGGATCTAAGCGCGACAGCTACCCACGTGCCTCTACCAGCTAAAGATGTGCATAGTACTGTTGAATTTCAAAGTGGGCAGATCGGCCTAGATGGAATGAAAGTGTTTCCATCCAATGACACGCCAGTTGATTGGTGGTGTTTTGATGTTGTTTCCTGGGACCATAAGAGCGAAATCGTTATAACTTTGTACACCGCTGGTGCTGCATTTAATCAAACTGGAACGCCTAATATGGTTCTTATTACGTACACGTTTGAGAACGGTACGGACTTGAACATCCACCTCCAAGCAGAGGACGTCAGAATTGGGACCATCGGTAACGGAAGTTCTGGCGAATACCAAGGCGTGGGTGATTAGCTCGGATCCTCAGATATGTCCCAGTATGTAGTTCGATTGGATTCGCCAAGTAATGGAATATTTGGAGAGATTATCCTGAAAAGCGTAAGTCAAAGCAGTTCAATATTGCAACACTTGTCTTTTTACTATTCTGATTAATACATCAACAGATTGCCCCACCTCATCTGCCTTGCACTGACGACCTAAGCGCTGGCGGCGATTTGCTGTTGGCACCAGGGGTAGGCTGGGTAAACGTGATACCTGATGCAGGTGCCACTGTCTACTTCAACTGGTCTGGAACTGTTGTTGAGTTCTCTGGCACGGGATACCACGATAAGGTTAGTTTACCGCTAATCGTCGGATGTAAAGTCCTTAACTGATTACCTTACCCTTAATTAGAACTGGGGAAATGTGCCGACGGGCTCTACTTTCCGCAGCTGGTACTGGGGTCATGGCCAAGCAGGTCCCAACTCCGTCGTCTGGTTTGAGTTTCTTGCGGTTAATGGCACTGAATATAAAAGCAGCTACGCCGCCCATGATGGCAAAATCTTGAACGCGGCCTGTGAGGGCATCAAGATTCGCCCGTTTGGAGCCAACTCTACCTATCCGCCAAATGCTACTACTGGATCGCCTAGCGCTTATAATATTGAGCTGTTGGTCGGCCATGAGAATGTTCAAGCTGAAGCTACTGTCACACATGAGTTCTTGAACATCCCGGGTGCAATCCAACGATGGATAGGGAGCTTTGAAATCCTAGGATTTGTAGGTACAGCATTATTCGAACAACTTGTTGACTCTCGTTGATTAATTAACATATGGAACTATATTTTTTTATTCTTATCACATGTTAATGTCTTATATTACCTCTTAGCTTTTTTTTGTATCTTGGAAATTTAAGATAGCAAAGTCTATAGTTGAGATTTGGAACACATGGAGATGAGAATTCTTGATATTATTGTACCATTCCGTTTACCGACCAAGTAGCCCCTGTCGCCATCTAGCTGGTAGTTTCCCATAACTCACGAGGCCTTACTTGGATACTCCCAGTGTACTCTCGGCTGACAGGGTATTTAAACACTATCCACTGTAGAATGACGCCAGTGTAATTACAGGAGAAATCAAGATATAATATTGTGAAAGAATGCAGCGATTTAGGACAGCGATGAAATTGTTCTGCTTAGAAAATCGCCCCTGGCTTCTATCCCTTAATGATATTCGGACCATAAAACAGTAAATGGAGTAAACTTGTATATTTTAGCCGGTGAATTAGTTATGAATGTGGCGCTTATGAGTACTCCCCCAAATATCATGTGTATCATCTAGCTCTCAACAGCCGCCAAGTATAGGACAATCTATATCTATGGAACATTTCTTAGTTGTTATTTGATATTCTGGCACACAACCTTTGTAGTAGTAGTCTCTAACGACGTAAACCCTAACCCACCAAACTCTCTTAGTATCTCAATGACGCGCGAATTCTTGATCTCGCCAATGCCAAAAGACGTCTCATTTTGAGAAATAGCATATTTGTTTGGATACCGCCTGTGTATAATTCTAAGGATGGCTGTCTAAGAATAAGGACCTGTATATATAAACACTCTTGTTAGCTTCTTTATCCAGGATAAGTGCTGCCATGTGAAGCAACCCCGCAACCCCGCATCCTCCATCAATAAACCATCGGGCTGGTAACCTTCATAAGTCAGTTAAGCAGAGCTGTAGTACTATTGTAGCTTTGGTTCTCGGGCAATGTGGATGTTCCTCAAGTGGCATCGAGAAATACGACGTCGAAAGAGAAGTGTTGTTTATGATGGCTCCTCCACTCCTAGGCTTTTCTCTCGGCGCACGCTTTGGCCGCAGATTATGTTTCTACGTGATCTGTTGAATGTCCAGTTTTGCCTCACGGGTTTTTGGCGTCTTCAATAGCTCCTACACACTCTGAGCGGGATAAAACTGGATTCCACTGGATCACGACTATGTCCCGCAGATAAGGGGTTGAATTCCCCAAACGGGCGTTCTGTATCCGTGCTCCACATGAAGTGCTCCGCCTGTATTGCCGAAGCCAGTCCAGTTATAACTACAAGCTGGCGAGCGTATCATCATATTATGGGCAGAGTGACTAGCGAACAACATTCAGTCTGGCCAACATATGAACTCCAGTAACCCTAAGAGGCAAGGCTTCGAGCGTCACCTGGTATCATTTTGCAACTGTCCTTTGACTCGAAAAAGGCTGGGCTGCCCATGACATTTCGGGCTTTGTTCACCTGTGTCCTCAAGTTTTGCGAAAGTTACAAGACACAAAAGTACGCGCAAAAAGCCAACTGGGATCGTTAATCTAGTTAACAGTGATGCATATGTCATTGAGCATCAGTACTATGCAAGCGCTCAATCACACTATTATGAGTAGTGAAGAAGTGCAAAAATGCCGTGCTTACAGGGCGAATTCGTGCGTGTGAACGCCTTCGATCATAGCATAGAGCTCCTTGACCAATCCATCTCTACCCAATATGATCACGTCCCAGCCTGTCATGCCAGGCATTCCATTTACATTGCCATATGTCCAGCCTTGCATGATAACATCTCCATTAAGCCACATGTCACCTCGCGGTTTAAATATCCATTCAGTCTGCTCATCAGCATGAAGTGCTAGAAAACATAATCCATCGTTAGCGAAGCGAAATATAAGCAACGACAACTTTAGTCTGAGAATTTAATGGAGATTTAGGCCAACTACATACCATCCCACAGTTCTCCCATCGCTTCGTAGCCTTTGAAGTCGCCAAAAGGAGTATGGCAAGTGATATCTGGTCTCTAATGCTCCTGTATCAGAGACTTGCGGATTGTGTGATCTCGTTTGTTGAAGAATTCGAACGTGGTAGCCTCTACTAAGCTGGCCGCCCTCTGGGGTGAGATTATAGTTGTCATGTCGTGGACTTAAGGGTAGAGAATAATCGGTATGCTAAGGGAAGAAATTGGTTAAAAGCTGCACGTGCGGAATATCAGCAATTTATGTAATTTTGTGAACTTAGTAAGCGCGTCATATTGCTGACAGAATGAGTGTGATCTCTGCTTCCGTATTTCCCTCGGAGCTTTGTGGCCTCGTGTTGACATATTCTCGGAAACAAATATTTACTTTGGGTCCGCGCACAGCTATGAGATCCATCGCTGCCGGCTAAAAGACTAGATTACTGATGACAAACACTGCAGACTGTGAACAGTATCGTCAGGAAGGAATTTATAGACACAGTGCAAATATTATCCAGCTTATCCTGTACAGATGGGAGAGTGGTACGGCCACCACGTAGTATATTGATGCCGAATGTATAGAATAGCTTTCCCACTTGAAGTTATGTTGATACTCAAGCTGCCACAGCTATGGGATAATTTGGGTTAAAATAAAGAAGTCGGAGAACAAGACACTTCTACCTCCGAGCGTTCCCATTGGTGAATATTTAGTGTATGGCACAATACGTGAGTTTAGAGGCTGCGAAATGACTCAGTCGGCAGATTGCGCTGGTTTAGGACATTTAATACCTGAACCTGGTTTTGATGAAAAACTTAATTGGAGACCTATGGAATTATTAAGAAGCTGGATAGCTAAATGTGTGCGTATGTTATGAAAGTCTAGCTTCAAAGGCGCCACAGATATCTGTTTTCTTGATCGATTATGCAAGTCCCCACGCTGATGAACTATTCGCCTGTAACCGGCCTGTCATGGTCAAGATAGTTGAAAAATATGGCCTGGATTCAAGAACGATATTTCTCCGAAAAATTGCTGGCCCGAGTATTTAATGCTTTCCTCTGGCACGCTATTACCAAGCTTGAACCCGTGCTTCGCGAGAAACACTATTGATTGACCATCTCGTCTATCAGACATGTAATGAAGATTAAATTCCCGCCAGCTTTTATGGTATGGCAGTCGAACTCTAAATCCACAGCTTGGCTTTATCCAGTAATCCCCTGCTTCGTAATTAATCCTGCATATCTTATACCATACCTTAACTCTCCCTGACTTAATATTATTAAAGTCTATTGGTACTTTCATCATTCTAACAGACACGAGAATATAAAAAAACCAACTTATTATAACTACCTAGTAATGAAACTAATTACCCCGAAGGTTTAAAGTTTCATGATGTTCAGGCAATACCCTTAAGCTAGCTCACTCACAGCACCCTCTCTATAATAGCCTAGCACAGACTCATGTAACTGAGATACTAGCGGAATATGTGCCTCGGGTGTTTGTGGCACAATTGTCTCATTACTGCTTGTAATATTTAAGACATTGCTAACGTCTGGTTGGTACGAGTTGTAAGAATCCATGCTTGGCGAGGACATCTGTGAAGCTCTGCCCCCATACTGGGGTTGTAATTCCGGATTGCGGAGAGGAAATCTCGTCTCATATCCTGCATCGGAGAACCTTTCATGTACTGGTGCCACATAATTTTCGAGAAGCGTGTTTCGGCCCTGCTCCCTCCGTGCACGGGGAGCACTCTGCAGTTCGACCGGACCATCTGCATTTGCAGGAGTAGCTGAGGACGCGAGATATGTCACATGCTGGTATTCTAATTGCTCGTTTCGGACAGCACTGTCAAGAAGCTCTCTAATGCGGGCTATCTGGTCCAGCGATGTTGCGGAGGAGAAGGAGAGGTTGTCCAAGGGGCCGAGATCAATAGCTCTGGCACCATTGCCCAGGAGGCAACCAACTGCGGAGACATGACCCATGAATGCCGCGTGTCTCAAAGGTTGCCATCCTCCAGGATCTACCTCCCTCGCGCTGGCACCATGATTAATAAGCTCTTGAATTACAGGCACGAAACCTCTGCTCGCAGCCATACACACTGGCGCATCGCCTCTCAGGCCAGGACCAAGCAAAACACTAAGCTTAGCACCATTTTCTATAAGTCGCTGGACAATCTCCAGGTTACCTTTCGAACATGCAATGAGCAGAGGCCGTGTCCCTTGCGCATCCTGAGAGTCGACGGATGCTCCCCTTTCGATGAGCCCTCGCACAGTAGCGGTAGCCTGTGCCTTGACTGCAAGGTGTAAAGCCGTCTCCCCAAGGATGGTTTTTGCACTAGAATTTGCACCAAAATTCAACAACAAAGATGCTTCGCTATACTCAGTGTCAATGCATGCATAATGCAGTGGACGGTAGTTCCGACTACATTCAGCCTCAATGTTAGCACCGGCGCGTAGCAGCTTCTCAATGGCTTCAAAGCTCCTGCTCATGGCCGCTAGGTGCAGTGCTGTTCTATTATTGTCTGTTCGAGTATCGATGTCAACCTTCTTTTGCTTGAGTAAGAGTTCAACCACTTCGTCATGCCCTTGGTAGCTCGCCCAATGTAGGGGTATCATACCGCCCTGGCTCTTGACCCCTGCTAACGCTTTGTGCTGCACAAGTATTTCCGCAACGAGTTTCAGTCCCGACTGAGCCGCAATGCCCAATGGCGTCATCTTGGTATCATCCTGTGCCTCAATATCTGCTTTCGACTCGAGAAGTATCTTCACTACGTCAATACGGCCAGAAGAGCAAGCACAATGGAGCGGCGATCTCATCTGGAAATCCTTTGTGTTCTTGTTGGCACCAGATTGCAAAAGAAGTCTCACAACGTCGTCGTCCCCCGAGTCAGAGGCTGCATGCAGGGGCGTACGTTTCTGATCATCCCTCGTGTCTACCATTGCTTGGCGCCGCACCAGGGCTCTAAAGGCATTCATCTGACCGTGGTCGCAGGCAATGCGCAGCGGAGTCCTTCCGTCAGGGCCACGAACGTTCACATCCGCTTCTCTATCGAGGAGAATATCGATGATTTCGCAATGACCGTTCGCCGCAGCTAAATGAAGTGGTTCAAGTCGATTCTTGTCCTTGGTCCTGACATTGCAACCTTCAGCCAGAAGCAATTCGACCACTCCTTCATGACCACAATGTGCTGCTACAGCCAGTGGGGTCCTTCCAGTGCCGACATGGGCCTGTTCTAGGTTAGCTCGCCGCCGGATGAGAGACGTCATTTCAGCGAGATCACCCCTCTGGGCCGCGACAATTGTCTTTGGAGGTGGTATGTTGTGGCGCGACTGAAGGTAGATTTCGGTGCTGGCTAGAGGACCCGGAACTTTGATCCTCTTCCGGGACTTGGGTGACAGGAGATGGACCGGAAGGGCGGATCTTGCTGGGCTTAGCCTGACCGAGTGGCGGCTCAACTTTCGTGTAAGCCAGAATCTGCGTTGATCGCTTAAACTGTCCGAGCTCCCTGTGGGGGAGGACCTGGAGGTCATCCTCGAGATGATTGACATGGAATACGATGTCTTCTCAGACGGACAGACGAACTCTACATTGTCCGGTCGTTCAAAGGGCAGCGGCCGCTGCCATGTGCCAGTTGGATTGCTGAGCTCTGGCAAGGCTGGTATGGTGCCAAGCGACTCTCCTCCCCATGTCGCACCACCGACATCCTCTGTATAATTCTGAGAACTGAGTCGATCAGATGTGGTCTCTCTGACCGTTGAATGCTCCCTAACGGTGGCTGTATCTTCTTGAACTTTTCGTAACAACCGTGTAGAAGTGTGTTGCTCCAGGAGGGCGTTTTGCTCTGAGATGTTCTGGCTGCAAATGAATAAGTAAAGGGTCAAAGGGTACGCACAAGAGCAGAAGGAACACTTACCAGTACGCAGCGGTTAGGAGGAGCTGGAGCACGGAAATCTGTGATTGAAGGCGAACGTCATGCTCTTTTAACGACGAATTCGTGTCGAGAAAGAATTGCCGCAACCGCAATCTGACCGAATCCTCCATCAGAGGCAGGATGTCTTGGTCTAAGGCGTCCATGACCGCCTGGCATCCGTCTATTGCCACTCTAAACCACACAATAAGAGACTCCCCCGGTGAACTAGATGTCAGATTGAACTCCGCCCATGTCTCGATTTCCGTAAGGGCTGCGCGAATGGTTGATAGTTTTTGTGCCAAAAGCTGAACTGACCGACTACCTTCAGAGTAGCGGGATCGGACCTTTGAGAGATTTGTAGTTATTCTGACAATGATCTTGATGATATCTGAGCATGCCGCTACGGCACCAATGATGGCGAGGGGATCCATGATGCGTTTTTTATCCTTTCCAGCATGGACGACGTAGAAGGTGGACAGCGAAACAAAGGGCAAACCGAAATCGCCCTTCCCAAACTTCATTGCAAGACCCCGTGACGGACTCGTTCTAAGAACGCGCCACAATTTGCGGCTGAGTTCGTGTATATTGCAAAGACTGCGCGTGGCAGCCGACCATTGGCTATAAAAAATTAAGGACGGACAGTTGTGCCTGCATGCCTTGCTTAGCCGAGGGGAGTGTCCAATATCCTCTATCCATTTGTACAGGGGTCAGTTATCCTTCAAGCTCCCTCTTGCGGAAACTGATTCTACCTTACATCTGGGGATTAATTACACAGCACCCTCATGTTATTCATCAGCTATATAATAAAGCTTATTTTCCCACCAGCTTTTATGGTATGTGAGTCGAAATCTAAATTCACAACTTGGCTTCATCCATTATTCCCCTCCTCTGAGGTCGAGCTTCCATACCGCGTTAACTTCTGCGTCAGCCATCCCTGACCTAACGCAATTACGCTCTATCTATATCTCTATAAATCCAATAGACACTTGATATACTGGTTCGTATCGCTACAATTCGGCACGGGCCCCTCCTAGCCAACCTGAACAATGCCAACTGATGGAGGACAACGAGGCATCGGCGGCGCTGTTTCCTTTATCCGAGTACTGCATTCTTGAGCGCTCACCAGACGGTTCTGAGCACCCACTCCGATGTCCACATTAAACTTCGTCAACTGCAAACTGTAATAATGCGACCCCAATCCTCAGCCACGCGGCCCGTACCGCCAGGCATGGATGGCCGCCTCTGGATGCAAATGAAGGATGCATTCAATGATGATCCAAAAGCGCGCCTGCACGCCTGCGTCCGCGACGACGACTTGTCGAGGCTGCGAATTTTCGTCCCTCTGTGCGGCACTCTTGACCTTGAACTCAACTACTGCGACCCGGACTTCGGCTCTGCTCTTCAAGTCGCCGTATTGTGCGATAACATGGCAGCGGCAGGCATTCTTCTTGATGCTGGCGCCAACCCTTGGGCTTCTAATGATTTCACTGAGCCGCAAACTTCGGCTATCGAAACGGCCATTCAGACAGGCAACCGCGACATATTCACTCGTATATGCGAAAAGACGGGTTTGGGAGGCAGCAAAAACTTGCAACAGCTTCACCGTACGCTTCTAAACCGAACGACTATCTATGGTTAAACTGCTATGGTGGAAGATGTTCTGGGTTGGGCTGACGACTGGTCGGAAGCTGTCTTGGAGAATGCCCTTGGGAACGCCGTGTCAGGATGGCACGTCGAAGTGGTTCGGCTTCTTCTGGCCCGTTGTAGATACTCACCGCTACGCCTCAACTTGTCTCTCTGCCGTGCAGCCGACTTCAGGTCGGATCTGCTCAGCCATCCTCATGCCGATTGCAACGGGCTGGACTACGTGAACCAGCAAGAGCTCATCGGTTGCCTTGTCAGTGCAGGGGCCGACCCAAACAGTAACGCTGAAGGGCAGAATATCGTCATTGCAGCGGCAACGTGGGCGGACTTGGTAGGAGCTCTCAAGGCGCTTCTCGATCAGGGCGCTGATCCCAACGGAGGCGGCGCTGCTGGAGAAACCGCCCTTCACCATCTCGGGTCGCCGGTGCATATTAAAAAGGGTCCCAAGCGCTGCCTGCACGAAACCGGTATTCGTTTGTTATTGCAACACGGTGCGTCCGTCACGATTCGGGATGAGTTTGGCAACACGCCGCTGCACTACGCTGCCTTTGGATCCAATATGCACATTTTCGCCCTCTACACCACCGGTCTGGCAGTTGACAGTCAAGATAACGATGCATTGAACTCGATCAAAAACAATAGTGGAGAGACGCTCCTTCACTGGGCCGCTGCGGGCAAGAACATCGACATTTTGCGCTTTCTATTATCGTCCGGTGCGGACGTCAATGCCGCCAATGACAATGGCTGGACGCCATTAATGTGTGCTGTAGCCCCGTCAACTCCAACTGAGACCTTTGTGCCACGTTATTATAAACCACTGCAGGCGGCAAGATTTATGCTGGACCATGGAGCAGATCCCCTTGCGTGCACGGCTGAGGGTTGGACACCGCTGCACGGCTTGTCGCTTTACCTGGACAATGGCGATGGCAATGACAACAAGTTGGCAGATCTTGCCAAGGAGTTAATCACGAGGGGTATACCTGTTGATGCTCGAGCTACCATGTTGGCTATTTCCACAAACTCTAGTCGTAAATCACTCCGTGTGTCCAACCGGGAGGTCGGCATTTGGGGCTCCCGAGTCGCTGAGCATCTCCAACCCAACGGCGACAAGTCGCCTGCGACAACCAAAGATAGAACGCCGCTACACTGGGCTATGTTTCACGGCGCTGCCGGTGTGGCAAAGGTTCTGTTGGCCAATGGTGCTGACGTGAATGCCGTTGATGAGAGGAATTGCCTGCCAGCTGATCTGATAAGCACCTCGCCACTGCTCGAGACGCACGCGAATATACGCGCAAGATTAACACGCATTTTGGTTAATGCTACAAATTCTAGCGTAGAGTACTCACAAAAGCAACAGCAGGCCACATAGGGGCAAACAGATGCTGTTGAGATCAAAACAGTTATCACATCATGACGTTGTGCGGCTTCTATATATGTCTAAGCTACAGATTGCCTCTGTGCGAGTTCGCCATTGCTCGATACCATTCAGGCCGGAGTGTTTGGATCTTCACGGTCTTGTGAGGGAGCAGGGGTGGCAGATTCGTATGCTTTGTCTGACAAGATAAAGTTGATTTCGTATGAGTTATTTGCTGTGGCGACTAATGTAACCATTGACCCAAGATATAGTTCTCCTGGGTTACGAGGGCTGACTTCTGTGCGGCTTCCATCTAGTGGCGGCTCCATAATCATTCTTAGACCACGGTTGCCGACGTATCCCTGACGATAGATCATCTCACTCGATTGGTGAAGCAGTCTTATCCTTTTTGCTAGTTTTGCCCCCCCTGGGGGTTTCGCGCCCCTTGGTGCTATTGTTTCTCCCAAGAGCCGCGACACCGGGTTCCAACCCGTTACCAACAAGCAGCTAGAAGACTCCAAACTCAACTATTATAGTTCATTTCTTTACAGGCTACCATCTATAGACTAATATTCCGACTTGAATATGAGGTGTATCTGACGCGGGTGCAGCGATGCGACAAATTCCGTTGGTACCGGGAATTCAGGGAAGAGGATATTTATACCCCCGGACATTCCCATTACTAAAAACCTCTTTGGCATATGACACAATGTGTGAGTTCAACAGCCGCAAAATAACTGAGCCGGCAGATGGCAGAGGCGTAGGAAGTTCGACAACGGATCCTGGCTTTGATGGAGAAGTGAACTGAAGACCTCTGAAAGTTTCAGGAAGCTGAAAGTCTGGGTGAATACTCATGTTACTGCTGAATGTTGGCGAAAGTCTAAGACTACAATGAGAACTAGTTGACCGTTAATGTGACCACTTCCTTCACGGAGAACGGAAGGCAACATGAAATCTTTATATTCAAGTACCTTAATAGGATACAGAATCAAGGGCAACCAAGTTTTAGAAAAGCCGTTTCACAATTTACGGAATTTATAACTTAATTCCGGCGCATACAATGGATCAAAATGTTACCATTTTCCGGAGTCTCCACGGACTGAGTGTGATTCTCTCCATTGACAACTAGAGTTCGTTATCTTTGCGCTCAGCTTAAGACTAAATCCGATTGGCCAAAAAGAAGTCATACCTAGACAGCAACCTATCTATCAGGTTGAAAAGAAAAAGGGAAGTTCTACAGCTCGGATTTAAGAGCAGTTGCTCCGAATCGATACCCCAGGTATTCGTCCCCCTGATCGATTATGCAAATTCTAACTACGTCGAACGAGTAACTTATCTGTCGAGGCGAATAATACTGAAGACCGCAATCCGGAGTTAAGAGTTATACTTTTCCGAAAGCTACGGGCTCAAAATGGGTGGGTGCTGTCTAGCTTGAACCTATACTTCATCTGAAGCACTATTGAATAGACCGTTGAGGTAGTAAGATTGTGATGATTAACCACGTTTTGATTCTGCTTCAAAAAGAAGCTCATTTTCCACCGGCGTTTATAAAGAAACATTCAAAATCTGAATCCAAGACTTGACTTCTTCATTGTTCAAGCCCTTCCTCCCCAAATAAGCTTGCATCCGAGTTACTCTTTGCCTTCTTCATACCTGACTTCCCGTCATTAAAGTCTAGTGATATCAGTACAATGTCTAAAAGACACGTATCTGATATACTGACTGAGCGTGAAGCAATAGCTGACACGGTCTTTCGCGCGGTAAAAGGCTTGGACCGCTATGACGTAGCCACATTCGATTCTGCATTTGCGTCGGAAGATGTGACACTCGAAGTGCCACACCGAAACATGAAGCTTGTTGGTCTGTCTGACATACATAAATATATGCTCGACTCACTTGGGCCGTTGGATACAACCCACATGATTAGCAACATTCGCATTCAGGTTGAAAATGGGGCCGATGCTGCCTCACTTACGGCCTACGCCTTATCACAGCATTGCCCAGCTGGGAAAGGCAGAGACCCGGAGAGTCCTAAGTTCCTAGTTTGTGGGGAATATTCAATTAATTTGAAATATGATGGATCGGATGGTATGTGGAAGATCAAGCGTTGGGTGCTGGATGTTATTTGGAGCCAGGGCGACACAATTGTAACACAGCCTTCTAGCTGATTGAAATGAATTACTTGATGTTATTTAATTTGTGTATGGTATGGATAAGGTCAGCTATGGTGGAATTTGGCGAGATATGCCTAGCAGTCACACAAATGGTGAGGCAGGCGCTAGCAGGCAGTGTCCCTTTTCAAGCAAACAATCTTGTCTCTTCTTACTCTGCTTGAACGACTACTTAGTAATGAATATCCCTGTGATATTAGCCTCTCCATTTAACTCAAACTGTATCACAACAGCAATTCGTCATTTCGAACGTGAGATATATGAAGAACAAAGTGATCTGCAGAGCCAAAAGACGCCTGGGGGGTGAGTCTGGCACTTCTCTCCAATATCGCCTCCTATCCCTGCGATACCCTCTTGATGCACAATTGTTGGATGAAACCGTCTGTATTCATCTCCTTGCTTACAAGACTTCTGATTCTTTATATATCGCCGAGAGTAGCTCTCGGTATGAGCTTTTAGCGACCCAATATCACTCTGTCATTCATCAGATGGACGATTCGAAAATAAAAGCAGCTAACTTCGAATTTCGGCGACTTTTCGTGCGCGTTTTCATGGTCTATGACGCGACCAAGCAATTGCTTTACTGGATAATTGCGAAATTAACGACAAGCTCCAGCTGGACGTCAGTTCATAATCGGTTTCAAGATGCTATGTGGATTGATGTTATCCACGAAAACCAAGGCAAGGCGATTTTTCAACCTTCTTTTGGAGTTACCAGAAGTAATAGGAAGACGTATAAATAAGACAAACTTGTTTTGTTAATATATGTTAACCTCTTTCCATTATAAATATAGCTATTTTACATTCATTTTGTTGTCTGTTGGCTTAATGCGTACATTGCTGGTTGTATTAGCCCTTCCCGTGATATATTTTGCGAGTGCCATTATGCTTTCCTTAGACCAGAGCTTTGACGATGCATTTCTAGACTGCTCAAAGTCATTTAATGCATCCATGACACAATCTCGCCCTCGCTCACTACAAGACTCAAACGACAGCACCAAGGCCAATATGAATCCCCGACAGCCAAATAGTGGCTTAAATTGGCGCGCATACTTAATGCATCTTCCTACCCTCCAGCTCATCTCCGAAATTTCTGTTAGAATATCAGGACGCTTGGTTCCATTGATGGCCAAAACATGTTTGACAGCGTAACCTATGGCAATTCGTGCCATTGCATATAATACAAATAGCATCGCCATCAAGGGCTCCGTAAATCTATAATGAACGAGAAATGGCGATGCACAATCAGGCTGCTCAGTAATGTTGCCGTGGTTGCGCATAGATGCGAAGCACAATTCACCAAGTCGCTGAATAAGGCTCATCTCTTCAGTTGCTATCTTTGCCACAATAAACCCATTGCCAGATAGCTTGCAATCGTTGATTTGCTGCATGGAATCGAGTCGCCTGAACAACGATGGCCAATTGCTGGTCCTTAGTGCAAGGCGGTAAATATCGGCTTTGGTCTCATTTTCGATTATACCAGAGCTCAACGCAGTTTGAACAGCACACTGCCATTCAGGCCTATTATATAGATTGGGCTTACTGCTGACTAAAGAGTCCATATACTGGCGACATGTTAATAATAAACAGTGACTTTAACCATGACAAGATGTTTGCCTTACCAGAGTACCAATATTGTCCAATGCAAGGGAGAGGCCTAGCTCGTCATCAAGCTGGGGTGGCCCACAAGCCGTCATCATCGCATATATTCCTCGTAAATGCACACTTGGATTGTACTCTGGCTCTGCTTCATATGTTGTCTAATCAAAAGGTGGTTTAGTGCTCGGCGGCTACAACAAGTAAAACACTAGAAGACTTACCACCACTCTATGGATTATAGACACAGCTGCAAGCAGTGCCGTATTTTGTTGCTTTTGTGAGCTTTCTAGTGCTTGGTTGAGAGACCTCAAGGCTTGCCCGTAAGCCTTTCTGTCAATAAGCTTCTGTGTGGGGAGACCACGTTGGTGATTTGAATAAGTCTCTATCATTAATGTAACTGCGTCGCATAACACGGTGCTGCCCCGCATATAGCGAGGCAGTAGAGAGTACGATTTCTTTGATAATGAAGCGTATAAGTTTACGTCTCCCAACTTTAGAGCGACAGTTACCAGCTTCGAAACGGCGTTATCTGCGGAATTCTGTAGCAAAGGGCCAATGCTTGGTTTGGGGTCTCGCGCTCTCCAAAGTATAGCATTCGGTGCGTTATTTCTGCGGGCATCGATGAAGGCGTTTGGGTAGCGTGATCCCTTGATCTTATGCTGCAAAGATGACAGAGATCGCGAAGATGGCCCTGACAATGGTTTTGGACTATTAGTCGCCCTCTGCTCGCGCAGGTTGTCACAAGATTGAGTCGGCTCCTGGAACTGGATGTGTACAAAGCGGTCGTGCGGCGGACCAGAGCACGTGCGATCTCTCAATTTGCAATTGCCACACGTCGGCCACCTCTCATCACACTATACTCCGTAGAAATGTTTGGGATTAGTATATCACATAGTATAGATAAAGTCAGTAAGATGCTGATCTAACCTTGATCTTTCGCGTCGCACAATATTGACATCGATTGCTCAGAGGAAATCCCATTTCTTTGATCCCCGCATACAACCTCGAATCACTATGAATCTTGGCAAGTATGCTCGACACAGGCAAAGCTTTCTGTTATGTAAGGACAAACGCCCAATGATTCAATATGCTGATGAAGTGGACGGAATGACTGACTACTATCATTGAGGTTTTAATAAAAGAGGCACAACAAAAAAGAACGTAAAACGAGAAGCGAAGAAAAATAAATAAGCCAAGAAACAAATGGAAAAATAAAACAAACCCAAATAAAAGCCAACATGGGTA